GGAGTCATGTATTGGACTTTTAAGGAAAGAGCACGAACCGTCGAAAGGAGTTCAAACGCCGACTGAGCTAAAAATATGCTCAGTACACCATAGTAGACAGCTCGTGCATTGAGCATGATAGGGGGAGAAGGGGGAATGGTGAGGGAGATAGATTCGGTCTGCTTGAGAGGGTATCGATTTCTGCAGGCGAACTCGCTTGCACAGTCAAGGACATGCTTGACATCCTCTCTGAGCATAATGGCGGAGTCTTGTCTATCACGTCTATAGCATACCTAAACTCAACTGTGAGTTATAGAAATCCATCCCCAAGCCCCTAAATCACTATTGGCAAGTCTCAGTTACATCGCTTTTCTGCATTAGTTAATTCTCGTAGTCCTCTGCATTAAGCAAGCGGTGCTGTTTTGACGCGTTCGAATTACTATTGATGGTGCTGCATTAGACTTATACTTAGGACGGCGTGAAGCATTCGGTAAGGCTCTCCGGCCGTGCACACTAGTCTAATCAATCAAAAGATGGACAGTTCTAAAAGAGTGTTTCCCTGGGTCTTCGACAATTGTTTAGCTGGCTCGTCTTCCTTGCTAGCCTTCGATCGAGAAAGCTTGCTGGAAGGGAAGTAATCGAGCTAGAACTCTGGCGTTTCAAGGGCTCTGGAAAGTTATTTCCCAAGTCAACCCCTTCTTAGCTTGGAAAACATATGGCTTTGCCTGATCAAGAAGCTGCACAAGCAACTATGAGGACCAAGCGCTCATCGTTGTCATCACTATCGGCCGATTTCTTCGCGGTACTATCATCACTAAGAGTCAACGACTACATGCCATCCTGCCACGTGGTCGATATTACAGCAAAACGGTGATGCAGAAACTTGAACGAACAGCTCTGATATATCTTGGCGCAGTCTGTCCTAACGTCTTTGGGCTCGCTCAACTCCTTCTTGATGACAAAAATCGTTCCATATGGCGTACTAAATCGGACTGATGAGTTATGTTGCGGGATACCAGGGACGCCGGAGACAGCTCCGGATCAGTTTATGTCATCGTACAGCTCTTCCGCAGAGAATACCCATTAAGCCAACCGCAGAAGACTAGCTCGGCCAAAGCGCTAGCGTAGTCGTAGCAATGGTGCCCACACCTAGACGTGCACGGCCTCTAACTGTACTATGTAAGTGACGAGATCGCGATGTTATCTGTAGGAGTGAGTACAATAGGAAAAGCACACAATACGACTTGGGCCGGTCTGAAGGAAGAGTGACGCGCTGCTATACACTGGATTCTAATAGGTAGCTTAGTTGATCCTTATGCAGTTATGAGACTGCGAGACCCAGCCGTCGATGGTACGAGACCTGTGCAGGTCAGTCTTCATAAAAGCCCACCATCAGAGGATAGATGTCTAGTTTGACTAATGCATTTCAGCTCTCTCAGTCTGAACTTGTCATTGGCGCTCTCCCTGAAAACCCATCCGTCGGGCTTGTGTGCATACGCCCCGTCTTACTTGTACGACGAGGTGAAGGATGGGGGTTACCTATGCCGGATCGTTCCGTGCGCCCGGGACTACATAAGGTTGAGTCTGTACTACTTGACCTCCCGAGAGGGCCCGAGAGATGGGGAAGTAGTCAATTTAGAAACAAGACAGCACCACCCAAACGCCACGAGGCTTGTATACCATCCCTAAGCAGTTAAAACACTGACAGAACACGTAGAGATGCACCCGATTGAGCGATGTAGACGACGATTATGTTCAACTCAAGCCACCTCACAAGGTTTCTTTATCCATCTCGGGTAATAATAAGCCCCGACACCCTTGCATGGTAGGAGTCTAATATTCTGGCAAATTAAGTTATTGGATTACACTTGGTCTGGTGTATAATCTGGTCAGAGTGTGATCGGCGAGGAGGGGATTGCCGAGGACGAGTATGACAGTTTACGGCTCCCTACAGCCTGCCTAGTCCCATATGCTCTGAGTTAGTAGTCGCCAAGCTTGGATTCTGAATAGAGACTATTCGAAGAAGCGTGGGGAGTTGCTGCTCTACTGCATGTTGCTCCTCGGGGCGTACGTCGTATAGTTAGCGGCACCTTCATCCTAAAATATGTCACCTCAAATCACAGTTCCCATCTAGTCAACTTGCGTGAGACACATGAGCCCTAGAGGAACTTGGATCTTGACTCAAAGAAAAAAGCGATGGGTCTCGTTTCGAGTGAGATGGAGGGCTGACCGACTGAGCTGCATAGTTACTCACAGATGGGTGTGCTATGCGAAATATTCCCTACCCGGTTATCGGCTGCGTTCTGGTGAGACGGTAAGCAACATTTCCAGAAAGGATTGCAATGTCAGACTTTAGAATGGATAGCCCTGGAGATTAGGCCGATCGATGTAGCACTGCACGATGCAATGTGAGATTTGGGAGCATCGTGTTGATATACCGGTAGACCACTGACATGTACCATCGAAAAATACTTGCAAATGCTAGGTCTATGTATACTCCTTTCCTAGCTTTTTGGAGCTTCAGTAACTATAGCGAACTCCTGTCGTTTCTTCCTTCTTCTGTAATCTCTTTAGCACACTAGTCAACTCTCGAGATTCCGACATCTTGCGTGAAGTAGACTAGCTTCAGAGTAGAGCCTAGGCAGACGCTCAACTGCACCTACTTCAGTAAGTATCCGTTTTGGTGCAGACCTGGCACATGTCAGTGGTCAGGATTTTCGGTAGCACATGTAGGTGGGTTGTCGTTTATGCTCCTGTCACGTTCGTTCGCCTGCATTCCCATCATTTGTACATCATCCACACTGGCCGCGACCACAACATGTCTTGCTTATCGGTAGTCTTCTCGGCAGAGCAAGCCACGCAGATGTACGTGATCTGCTCCTGGAGTAAGGCCCATCTAATTCCTTGATTTTCCTGGTAGCCGGTTCGGTCTATTGCAGGTGGCGCATGAGCCCGGCTCAGCTGGTTTCCAAGCAAGGAAACCTCCGATTTACCGTGGGTTTTTTTTCTGTGTGCAGGTGAGGTGGTGGACGCCTCTTCGGCGGCGTCGTTGATCACTACAGGTCCTATCCCTCGACGGCCATATTCATTGGGAGAATTGTGTCTGTAATATGGTTGATTTTGTTTTGGGGGTGTCGATAATAATACGAGCCAGATAGGAGCGAATCATATCGGATCTACCGGGACATACCTACTATGTAATGAGAAGTGTAGTGGCTAATAACAGTGAGCGTGGGACAAAGCAAAGAATCTTGGAAGCGAGCTGCAAGCCCAAGGAGCAACACACACATATAATATTGATGCAGGGTGGCCGTTGGGGCCTAGCGTTCCATGTCGCACCAACGACTCGACACACGATGGACTGACTGAGTAATCTTAATGGCGCGTTGCTTGAAGAATGCGAGCCGAGCCTGTGTAGGCATACCCATGTTCCGCCGCCCACGAAGATGTTTCTCCACAGGCTGACCCAGCGCCAGCAAACCGGATGCAAAGGCGACTGGCGAGACTGGCTCAAGATGCTCTACTGCTTACCCAGTACCGGTATCCCGTCTTTCCGCCCACTTCCGCGCGTTTACCCCGGGCCCTGCCCTGTGCTTTCATCTTGGCACAGACCAACTACCTTATGTGCTCCAACTGGTATAGGTATTCATGTATGCCTCCTTGAGATAGCATCGACTCAAGCAGCGCATCGTTCGATTTTTCTCGGTCGCCTGCGGTCATGGGAGACTGTCGCGGTCAACAGAAACATAAGTATGACTGCCTAGTATAGTCACTTCGTTCTAGGTCCACCAAAGTAGAAGACAGGATCAAGCCATCGCATACCTACATGGTAGAGCTAGCGGCCGTTGGCCTCTATGGTGTACAGTACCTAGTGCATTCCAAATGAGACGAGACATGCTAATTACTACCTATATCGCATGCAGTTATGCCGTCTGAACTAAGTAGCAACTTGTTTCTCGGCACGGCTCGCTCAACCTAGTGCAGCGGTAGCCTAATATAATTCTTGGACCCTTGCTCTACAAGGCGAAATAGAGGTAAACAGACAGACCTCGACTTGCCTACCGCAAGGGCTAATTAGTCAACTTGCAACTAGCATTGGACGAGAACAGTTCATACGACTTTTCAGAACTAGAGCAGCCGCCTCAAGGCACTCTAATCATCATGCACGCCGCACGGTATATGCCGTCTAGCCCATGTGGATGCCATACTTAGGTTGGCCTGCGGAGGAGTATCATCTTCCGCGTTTATCAGAGCAGGTGAAAGACTTGTACATGATCTCCGACGTCATCTCTGACGAACTACCGGTATATGCCCAGCTCTGAAAGGTCGCTTGCGACTCGTGCGGTGAAGCAGCTTCCTAGTTGCATTTATTATGATACCTAACCTAGTTACGTTGCTGGTTGCCCAGGCCTCTTTTGCCTTGCATGGTGTGCCTTGGCCACAGATTCGCCTAGGCCGTTGATCATTTCCATTTCTGACTTCCCAGCGGGATGTTCCTGGCACCAATCGACAGAATGGTTCAAAACTGGGATCTCGCATATGCCCAGTGGAAGAGATTTATTTGCGAACAGAGGCAAAGCCTATTAACGATTAATTTCTTTCTTGGGAGCGCATCCTGCAAACTAGTTGGGAAAATAGAGGGTGTAGTGACAAGATTATTCTCACACCCCTCGAGAGAGATGATGGAGGTGGGTAGACCTTATTGCATGAACTAATAATGCTCATTCAGTTAACTTGTCATGAGATCTTTGAGTTCTATAGGTAAACTTGAAATCATGATGATAATGAAGAAATACAATAGAAGACTTTCAAGTTTTCCCTATTTCTTTGCAGGTTAACTTCATCGCGTGGGGGGAAAAGAGCGAGGGGTGTGAAATCTTCATTCGGAATGGCCTCGAGATATGACCAGGCATTTGGCGGCACACCCATCATCTTACTAGTGGCGCTGGGATACGTATCCGATCTTAATATCATCGAAAATCGAGACCATCTAGGTGATGTGAAATGAGGCTACGTGGGTCTGTCGTTACCTATTGGACGCCTGCGCATGGAGTCTTCGATGGCGACACCAGCGATGGTGACCTTGAAGATGGGAAATAACACTCACGCCCAGATATAAATACCTGACGTTCCACCCATTCAATATCAGGAGTCCCGTCTCACTCCTCAGGCAGAACAGTAGTCTTCCAAGCTTTTAGCTCGCAAGTTCTGGACTTTCAATCACTCTCATTCAGCTCAAGAACCACAGAGTGCCATTCCTTCACCTGAGCAGCCAAAATGAAGTTCTCCGTTCTTTTGGCTACTGTTCTTGCCACCGCCGTTGCGGCCGGGCCTATCGAGTTGCTTGACTTGGACTACTACCCGACCTCTAAGTCAACCACAACTCCCAGCTATCCAACTGGCGGCTATCCTACCGGAGGCTACCCTACTGGAGGCCATCCTACTTCTTCTACCACTAAGCCTGGTGGTGGCCACACTTCATCTACCACCAAGCCCGGCGGCGGTCACACTTCTTCGACGACTAAGGGCCACCCTACCCCCTCGACTACTACTAAGGGTCACCCTACTCCCTCAACAACTACTAAGGGCCATCCTACTCCATCAACAACTACTAAGGGTCACCCTACCACGACTACCACCAAGGGCCATCCTACCCCCTCGACGACTACTAAGGGCCACCCTACATCGTCAACTACTAAGCCTGGTGGCCCTCCCACATCGTCAACCACCAAGCCTGGCGGCCCTCCCACATCGTCAACTACTAAGCCTGGCGGTCCTCCTACATCCTCAACTACTACCAAGGGTCATTCTACTTCATCCACCACTAAGCCCGGAAACCCTACTTCATCAACGACTAAGTCTAGTGGCAACCCGCCATCCTCCACGACAACTCCTGGCGGTGGCAACCCGACGACTACAACTACCCCCGGCGGCGGTAACCCAACTACTACCACTCCTGCCCCAACGACCACCACTACTCCCGGTGGTGGCAATCCTACTACTACTACTACTACGACATCCATCTCCTATCCTACGCCCTACTACGCCTGCCCAGCAGGACTCTACAGCGTCCCGCAGTGTTGCTCCACTGATGTGCTCGGTGTTGCTGACCTGGACTGCCACTCCCGTAAGTTATATGACCCATATATTCTTATCTTGTGAGATATCAGAATCTAACACTGCTTGTCTCACAGCCAGCATGGTTCTCACCAGCCCATCCCAGTTCCAGGCTACCTGCGCCGCCGGTGGCCAGCGTGCCCGTTGCTGCGTCATCCCCGTGGTAAGTTCAGCCCGCTACCCCATTGAATAGCCATCCATTGATACTAATACATCGTCAACTTCAGCTCGGCCAAGCAGTTCTCTGCATCACCCCCCCTGGCGTCCAATAAATCATGGCAGCAACGCTTCTGTTCCCCTCTCCGTAGTACTACTAGAGGCTACCAGAAGATCGGTAGCAGGCAGGGCAGAAAAGGGGGTTTCACTCATTCAATTCAAGCCATTTGTTTGTTTAAGGAGGGCTCGTTGAGCGTGCACGGGAAAGGGGGATTTCTCTGGCCATGCTCAAGCTGACTTTTAGTGTATGTATATATGCCACGAAAACTAGGGGCGGGCGTTGCTTGGTCACGCCGCCGTTAGATTCCGAGGTTTATATGTGTCTTATGTATAGGTTTCTACGTATACGAGGTAATTATATAATGTTAGAATTGTTTTTCTGCCACCTATGTGTAAGGAGGTATGGAATTGGGCATACGCATTCGAGAAACTGGTATGCGTTTCACTTCTAGCTCTGTTTACGAGTGAGCACCATCGCTTTCTCTGAGCAGTATATTCAATTTGTAATCAGAATTTTTATTTCATCAAAGATAGGGGGGTCTCTGGGTTTAGATTCGGTACCCCTATTTACACACTTAGACACATCACTCAATACGCCACTTCAGGGTTCAGATGCATGGAATGATAATTGGTGGCATGGGGCGAAATGTCTGCATGCTACATATGCACGTAAAGACCGTTCCTATCGTACAAACTAAAATGTAATTTCTCGACGTGTCTGATCCACGTACGTGATAATCTTACGTGCATACGCTTTAGGTCACTATACCTGTAGATATTACCATTTACAATTGCTACTACTACGTTGGGTAATCCAAACGCTTGTGATCAAATAGTCATTCGGGGATCCGCAGATCGGGACCTCATGATTTTTTCTTGAAATGCAGAGTCGCAGTTGGGGTGGAGTTGCTGAGTTGGCTACCACGGGGTTGGCATCGGTTCCTGAAATGAGATCTGCGCGCGCAAGTTGCTGTTATGCTCGCCTAGGATGATGCAAGCTAAACTGATCTAAATCCATACTGCTCGAATTCTTGACGGCTGTCATTCTCGTCGTCGCTGCCTGCGCTGTCATTTGTCACGTTACGTTGGGACGAAGCGTGCTTTACTGCAGGAACCGGGCGTCGATGCAGCAGTGGACGCGCAGAAAGTCTCTGCATAGATAAAGTCTTCAACGGACGCAGGTCCTGTCTCAAGAAACCGGAAACGGGAAGCGGGTAGCAGTTGGCACACAAAGTTGAGATGCTCCGCAATAGCAACATCAACATATATAAGCAGGCCACTTGCTGGTCTTATTGCTCTCTCTCCGACTTATAGACATATTCAATAGTATCAAGCCTAGGCCCTTAACCATGAATACTTGCAGGCAGTTAGCGACCATTTGAGCACTCCGCGCTCCATCGAGGCAGTGTGTCTCTAGCTTGATGGTTTATTGCTTGTTACTTCTCATACAATTCTGGGTTATATTATATTACCTCTGAATCGAGCCGCAGGTCGGTGAGAAGGGCCTTATGGACTTAGCAGCAACATTGCTCGCACTGATTTTCCTTTTCTTTTCATACAGCATAGTATTTGTTATCAGTCTGTCACATATGATTCCATTTATCAACAATCGGCTAATTGACACATTCCCCCGGTCTTGAAGAACTTGGTCAGTCAAGACTGGCACGTGTCCTCAAAGGCGTGCGGTACCATATGTAAGTACATGTAAGTATACCTATGTCCGTAAGTACCTGGTAGACTGTCCTTATCGCGAAGACAGGGAGTCAACTAGGTGCCGCGTTAGTGGGTAAAGTCCGTGTACATGCTCGCTAGGTACCTATGGCCGTTAGCCTCCGCCACTACCTAGGTACCTACAGGCGACCTCGACGCTGTGCTTGGTGCTTGCTTAGCCTCATCACCATCACCACCATCATCATCATCCCGGTCCCCCTGTTTATAGCCATAGAAAAATCAGGTAATGTGATCCTGCATATCATCATTACCAAAAAACATTCAATTGGCCGGCCGCCTTGCCTGCTCTTCGTTTCGTCTTGCCTTGTGTTATTTGTCCTTCTACCTGCAATCCTCTTTCGGTGCCGGCACCGGCGAACGCGGCTCTCTTCGTCGAGTCCTCGCGCCTGTTGTTCCGCTGCCCGTCACTGCCTACCTAACCGACTGCTGGTCTCACACATGCATTCTTTTGCACCTTGTTGCCGGTGATGCCCTTGCCAGGCTCGGCCGGCTCCAGGTTGGCCCTATTGTATTCGCTCGCGACGCCATGCCGCTTTGTTAATCTTATCCCGACCTTCGCCTTCCTCCTGCCGCTATGGCTAGTGGCGCCCGTGCTGGCCATGCAGCCTGGCCGCATCGCCGAACTACGCCATGAGACGGTCGACATGTTCTACCATGGCTTCGATAACTACATGAAGATAGCTTTCCCCGAGGACGAGGTACGCTTCTCTGCTTTCCCCCACCCGCCGCCCCTATTTAATTAGACCTAGAGAACTCACATATTGCCTCTCATAGTTGCGCCCCGTCTCATGCACACCGTTGACTCGCGATCCCATCAATCCCAGAAATGTCGAACTTAACGATGTCCTTGGAAATTATTCTTTGACTCTGATAGATAGCCTTTCCACACTTGCTATTCTCGCCTCTGCACCTCCCGATAGCAGGAACACGGGCCCCAAAGCCCTAGCCGATTTTCAGGATGGTGTAGCTGCGCTTGTTGTACAATATGGCGATGGTCGGGCTGGTCCCTCAGGCCGTGGAGCCCGAGGACGAGGCTTCGATGTCGATAGTAAAGTTCAAGTATTCGAGACCGTGATCCGGGGCGTTGGAGGATTGCTAAGTGCACATTTGTTTGCTGTGGGCGAGCTACCCATCGCGGGTTACGATCCTGGAAGAGCAGCCATAGACATTGAAGAGCATCCAATTGTCTGGCCTAATTCGTTTAAATATGACGGCCAACTTTTGCGGCTTGCCCTCGACTTGGCCCAACGCCTACTACCAGCCTTCTACACCCAGACTGGGATGCCCTACCCCCGTGTCAATTTGCGGCATGGTATACCGTTCTACGTGAACTCACCGCTACATGAAAAGACGCGCCCTCAACCTATGAGACCTGAAGAATCCCCTGAAATTACAGAGACATGTAGCGCTGGTGCCGGCAGTCTCGTTCTCGAATTCACTGTTTTGAGTCGTCTTACGGGCGATCCTCGGTTTGAGCAAGCGGCAAAAAGAGCTTTCTGGGCTGTATGGTCGCGGAGAAGCAATATTGGTTTAATAGGCGCTGGTGTTGATGCTGAAGAAGGGCACTGGATAGGAGGGTTTTCTGGAATCGGTGCCGGGATTGACAGCTTCTTCGAGTACGCACTCAAAACACATATACTCCTATCTGGCCATGAGCTACCGAACCAAACGGTTCCCCGCCATGATGCCCACGAAAGATGGCTTGATCCGAATCAGATATACCCTCCGCTTTCTGATAAGGATAACTCCCCAGATTCGTTTCTCGAGGCCTGGCACCATGCTCATGCTGCAATTAAGCGTCACCTCTATTCTGATTTGCACCACCCTCACTACGTTAACGCGCATATCTCCACAGGGTCGCCTCAAACTTTCTGGATTGACAGTTTAGGCGCTTATTATTCCGGCTTACTCACCCTAGCAGGAGAATTGGATGAAGCTATAGAGACCCATCTTCTTTACACGGCTCTGTGGACTCGTTACTCTGCTTTACCAGAACGCTGGTCAGTCCGTGATGGGCATGTTGAAGGCGGACTGGGGTGGTGGCCTGGTAGGCCAGAATTCATTGAGTCGACTTACCACTTATACCGTGCTACCCGAGACCCCTGGTATTTGTACGCCGGTGAGATGACATTGAAAGATATAACTAGGCGATGTTGGACGGACTGTGGCTGGTCTGGCCTCCAGGACGTCCGTACTGGCGAGAAAAGTGATCGCATGGAGAGCTTCTTTCTTGGAGAGACTGCTAAATACCTATACCTCCTTTTTGATGCCGAGCATCCGCTCAACAAGCTGGATGCCTCATACGTCTTCACAACAGAAGGCCACCCATTGATCATTCCACGCAAGACTGTCCTGCGTCATCCTAAAAAGCGACAAAGTGACAGATCTCTTCAACCTTACTTCGATGAAAGTTTCACCCATACTTGTCCCATACCCCCACCTCTCCCTCACTTATCTGGTTCGGCCACTGCTGCACGGACGGACCTATATAATGCGGCGACCTTGATTCGACTTCACCAGGTACCAAATTTTCACGGCGTCGTGGAACCTAACCCCCAACCGGGACCATCGAACACAAATGAACAACGACCTCTAATTGTTTCGAACCATACACACTTTCCTTGGACACTTCCCCAATCTATGCTGCCGGTCGATGGAATATGCGTAGCATCAAAACAGCGACACACCAGCGTCATCGAATTCCCTTCTAACACCCAACAATCTGTAGGCAGTGCCTTCAATCTCGTATTCGGGAATGGTAATCTGGTTCGAATGGGTAGCGAAGGCATTGTAGTCAATAGTCTTTCAGGCCTGAAAATAGGAATGATACTCGAGGAACCGCCCACTACATCGGAACGAGGATGGAGGGTGTATAGTATAGGTAACTTTCTCCTCGGGAGGGATGAAAAAGTCTTCATCTCCCGTGACGTTCTTGCAGATATTTCAGACCCTCTTTTCCATCGCGTTCGCGATGCAGTACTTGTCGACATTGTGTTGCAAATCGAGGTTCCGAATATAATGCCGACACATAATTCGACCGCTACAGATTTACCTCAACCTGAAACGAAACCTATTGTCGAAATGCACGACTCAGACCTAGGAGCGACAAACATATTCAACTCTTTGCTACAGCAACTTACATCGGCTCTGCGTGAGCCAGTGGCTACTTTTGGCCCTGAACCGGCACCCAAGATCGAGTATAAGTATATAAACATCCCAGCAATCACACCCGTAGGTGTGGGCATGGCACCTCTGCCAGATATTTCGGAGGCTCCGAATCCAAATCTTCAAACGCATATCGAGTCACTTTCGTGGAAGCGACTCTACTTTGCCGACCAGGCTTGTCAGGGGAAATTGCCCGATGCAGTCCCGAAACAGCATCAAATCATTGTTATGCGACGAGGCGGCTGTTCCTTCTCTGATAAGCTAGCGAACATCCCTTCCTTTGCCCCCCACCGCAATGGGCTACAGCTTGTCATTGTAGTGTCAGGTGATGAAGAGTCGTCCAAGGAGGGCGAAGAAGATGTCTGGGGTTTCAACTTGATCCGACCGTTGTTAGACGAAGAGCAGCGGACACCCGCGGGTATCCCGCGCCACCGTCCCATCCCCATGCTGATGGTGGGCGATGGAGACACAACATATGAGCTGCTGAAGACAGCGAAAAGTATTGGCATGCGGAGGAGATACCATGTTGAGAGTCAGGGGCTGACGATCAATAACCTTGTAGTACTTTGATTACGTGAACGATGGGATGCATATATGCATTGGATAGCGAAAAGAAAGCATTAGTGGCGTCATTGCGGGTGTTCGATTTACTTTTGGAGAGCTTGTGGCATATGTATATCTCGAAGCTAGTCGTTATATTAGCATCACGCATAAACTGGCGCAGGCCCTTCCCTTCACTTTCGGTCTTGTTCACTTATGTTAGTTCTAGGTCGACTGTCTGTATATTCAATGCTATATCGGTTATGGTACGAAAGCTATACAGGTCTACAGTCAACAAGGGTCCCTAACTGCCTAATTATCGTGCATTGTACCTGGAAGATACAATGGGGTGATGGTACAGAGGTGATATAGCAGTATGCATGTATGATACAAGTTAAGTGGTTGTTATATAGATATAAGCCCACCCTAGGCTCTAGCAGGCGTCTAAGACGAGGAGGTTTCGGACGTCGGCTCAACAAAAAGATGGTACGTCTTTTGTTGGGCGAGCGTCGTCTTCGACGGGCTACCCACAAGCGGGTCCTCGCCTTTGTTATTTTTGGGGAACGCGATGACGTCCCTAATGGAAGGGACATCACAGAGTATTGCAATCAGCCGATCGAATCCAATCGCAAACCCAGCATGTGGGGGGCATCCTGCCCGTAGTGCCTCGAGGAGATGCGAGAATTGGGCAATGCCCTCGTCGGTCATTTTCAAGATATCTCGGAAAACGTACTCTTGCACCTCGGCGACGTGGATACGTCGGCTTCCGCCCCCGACTTCCATGCCGTTGAGCACGAGGTCGTAATGATCGGCTACGGCGCTAAGCGGTTTTCTCTTGAGAGCATCGACGTCCGCGGGCGATAGGGGCGCGGTAAAAGGGTGGTGCGTAGAGCAGATGCCAGCCGAACCTCCTTGGCCTGGTTCGCCATCGTCGGGCGAGAATAGAGGGAATCTGTTGACCCAAAGAAATCGCAAGGACGAATCCTTGGGCATCAAATTTTCCTCTACGGCAGTATCAAATATCAATTTCCGAAGCCTGCCGAGTTCTGTAGAGCCACCTTGTAATTGAGGTTTGCGTGCGTGTGTGATAATTACGTCACCGTCTCTTGCAAGCAGCCAATCGTCAGTCGCACGACTGAGCAGACTTTCTGCTGCTTCGTGTCCTAGGGCGGATAGGCCCTGGAGTGGCTTTGATGAGTCTACAACGAACACGCCCGGTGTGCTGTCACCACTTAATTTGTGAGTCGTATTTGGCAGCATATCGAACAGTTTGCTGATGAAGCTACCCGACTCTTGTGGTGATCCGTTGAACCGGAACTTGCATGCATCTACGACCGGATTCTCGAGGTTAGTGATCATCTGCTTAAACTCTGGAGAGACCAAGGAATCTATTGAGATTATCTGCTATTTGTTAGCGCAAATGATGCAACAACGTAGAAATAATGGAATCACCTCAGATGCATGATTCGGACTTATCCGGAGGTCTGGCTTATCGATGCCGTAAAGGCGCATGGCCCTCAAGTAGGAAATGGTATTTGGCCTATCAAAGTCAATATATCGATTACTGGAATGATTTTCGTCGCCGTCCGGCTGCTTATCTCCTACACCATCAATATTGGTGGCTTGAGTAGGAGCAAACATCGAACATAAGGATCGCATCAATTTAGTGACAAGTCGTCTCACATCCTTGCTACTAGAGAAGCTCATCTCCAGATCGAGCTGCTGCCTGTCAGTAGACTACCGACTAGACAAACGGGAGAAAACAAACCTGAGTGAATTCGGGTTGTCGATCGGCACGATGGTCTTCATCGCGGAAGCACTTGGCAAACTGATAATACTTGCCAATACCACCAGCCATAAGAATCTGCTTATACTGCTGAGGGCTTTGGGGCAACGCGTATGCAAATCCTTTCCGCCGGGTCGGTACCAAGAACTCCCGAGCACCTTCCGGGGTAGACTTGAATAGAACCGGTGTCTCTACCTCGACGAAACCTTCTACATGCAGAACACGACGTAGCTTTGTAGCTACGGCCTCGCGAAATACCAAACGTTCATACAGAGAGTTATCGAATCTCATCTGCAGATGGCGAGATTGAGGGGGCCACACTGCGTCTTTCGAGACGATGATATCCTTGGGAAATGTGTTCAGACACTTGATGGACCGTAACCTCAACTCATATTCGCCTATCATGATTTTTGAACGGGCTTCAGTACCATCTTGAGTATTTTTGGTGGCGGCGGCGGCCCTATTTTGCAAGGTTCCAGTGACAACCACTGGGCTGTGCGCAGGCACCGACTTCAGATTAGTGTGGGCAGTGTGTTCCGCTGAGTGCTCCTCCTCCCAGCTAGATACAATCTGGACACGAGGCCGATCTCTTAAATTCAACGTAATTTCACAGAAGCTCAGATTCTGGCCCCTGTCTCGCCGTTTTCCAAGAAAGCCCGTCAGTTCGACCTCCTTGCCTGGTTCGGGCGATTGGTGGCCTGGATGGATGTATTGGAGCGCAATTGGCCCAACTAGGTGTTCGAGTTGCTTAGTCTCGCTCTGCAATAAAGTATATAGGGTTCAAATAACTTACGACTATTTTTGAAGATTTCGAATTGGGTCTCAGCTATAGTTTTTTGGGATGGGGTAGCAGTGTCGCTGGGTTCTGAGCTGAAGACACGACATTGTGTTCGAAGCCCCCAGAGTGAACGCGCACTGCTTGGTACGGCAACACGTCTCGAGGCAGCCCTTAGGAGGGGTAATCTAGATATTGACATGGCAGCGCCTCCTGATGAGCCAATATGTATTATATCATGGTAAATGGAGACATGACTTTCAGGCGTCGAGAATAACTTGGAGCGGTGATTAGACCCACCTAAAAGTTCATCATTCGACCTGATGTGACTAGGTACGGTACCTCTCATAGCATGACACAAATCCACAGCTGCCACCAGCTGTCAATTCTTCTAGCTCCGCCAATCCACCACATATTTCTTCGGCCGCTGTCAGTGGGGCTTGAAGCTCTTTTTTCCTTTCTTCTTCATCCTTCCAATTCAAATCAATGTGAGTATCCATGTTCGCGCAACCGTCGTTACTCTTGACCTCTTTGCTAATACAAGCCTTCTCGCAGATGATGAAAGCCGCGTGTATAATATGATGTGTTCTGCTTCTTGGAGCTCTAGAACTCTCCTCCTCGGAGGCTCAAGTGGTTCTGCTGCAAAGAGAAGAATGGAATCATGAAATAAGCGTTCGACACACCTCGACCTTGTTTACATCGGACGCAAGAAGGCAACTCTGATAAATCAATTTGAATACTGGAAGATGTGAACACGGACATCGCGCTATCGATGTGCGTCTCTCGCGATCATTGGGCACGATCTGGTGCTATGCGATGCCAGGTACCAAAACTGTCCGGGGTTGTGGGCAGGTTCGCTGTACACTCACGCTATCAAGTCCTGAATCGCGTAGCCTCTCGATAGGGTATGTCTCAAGTGGGACTAATCATTCTCGTCTATCTCCATATCCTTCCCGGCCATTCTATGTATCAAGTGAAACCACCTATCGATGATCTGTGGCCCGGTCTGGCCTGGTATGTATAAGCCGGTACTAGAAAGGCCACGGTAGTGAGGAGCACAGGTGATGTGAGATGCCCCTAGCTTGCTGTCGTCATCACCAGGCAAATTATGAATTTGAATAGGTGAAGCGGGACCTACCATCATATTTTTGGTATATTGTCTGCTTGTCTTGTTCTCTTTTTAAGCTTACGAACGACTTAGGAGGGATGCATAAGCTGTATGATCGTAACGATTTCGTTCACGATACCCCATTGGCACACCCCAGTCCCTATCATTGTAATCATTGGACAGCCAATGCTTGGAGTCTAGACGGTGTTGGAAAGACATTCTATTTCGCCGTCAGTGTTACTCTTTTCATCATTCCTACTTCTGGGCCAGTAGTGATGGAAGATACTGTTCGTTGGATGTGAAGACTCCTTTTATACGAGATTAGAATGTGTCTATTTCTTACCGATTTGCTGCAATTAGCAGTCCGGTGGTATGTGTATCTGAGAACCATCTCTAATGATTTTGGGTCTCGAGCTTGTGCCACCATGTGTTCTGCACGAAGGAGAGGCAATTTTAAATTAAAAGAGTTTGAGGGCGATCTATCCAACTAGGTAGGCAAATTGATGTCCTACGTGACTTTCTAGCGGGGAAATATTCGCGAAAGGACCTATCATCTAAGCTCCCTAGGGAATTACTCAGATGACTTATCTGTACAAAGTTGGATTATGTAAGCTATCCGGGCAATGATTTAAAAGAACGCTAACCGGCAAGGGCCATTGAGATAGGCCAGGAGATGCCCTTGGTTAAGTCATTCTGCCATTATCTGATGCTCATCAGGCATAGATACATATAATTAACGTGAACAATATTCTTGCTTTTCTTTCTTTTCGATGTCGATTCTTGCAGCGTCAAGACGCAAACCCTGATGCTCTTGGATACATGGGTGGTGCTTGCTTCCTTCGGGCTGCCCGACATTTCTATGAAACCTTATGTGAGAAACTATAGTGATATGGTATACACCTAAATGTCTAATTATATGACGATTTCCCCAAAGGATTGATGTCACAGCGCCCTTTACACTGTTCCTATGGCCATTGATAAGAATTTTTGCTCAATTGATTTTTCTTTAAGTCAAGTATGGTCAGTACCTACGTGTTTAATCAATTATGATGTTTCTACAATTTGATGGCTTGGAAATAGCGACATATACTCCTTAGCCAGGAAGATATATAGTTTGTATAGCCCTCATGCAAGAGATCAAGGTTCTACTTCGTAGTTGCTTATCGCCGTGGGGTAAATCCATCTGCACTTTCGATACCTAGTATCAGCTAGCTTCTATATGCTACATGCCTCGTAGGACGTTGGAGGACAGATGACCATATCGTTTATATACTATATAAATTGTTATTGCACTTCAGATGCTACTACCTACATAGTACATACATAGTAAAGCAAATGAGACATGGTTAGCAGCCAGAGTCAGGAGTCTTACAGGAGCCAATGACGATTGGCGTCAGCTTCCCCTTTAAGCTAGCCCCGGCTCGCCATGTACGGGCCCCCACCATCGACGTACGCGGTGCTGTATCTGCCCGACGCTGGGGAAAGTCAACTCCCAATTTCCAACCTGCCGACGGCCGCTCGCTACGACGACACGGACAACCAGCCACCAGCAACCAGCAACCGGCAACCAGCAATTCTACTTGACTGAATCCATACTTGTATTGTTAATGCAGACGCCATCGTAGACCCGACCACCCCGACGACATCGTGCGCCAGGCCAGCCAGAGCCAGCCATGGGACGACGCTGACTGCCTCTTGCTCTCCGTCTACCTACTTGTCCGCCCGCGTCCCCGTACTCGTCCTTCGTCTGTCCCTATCCGCTGCTCGCCGGCTTGACCAACGTGCGCGCCCCCGTTCCCAATCAACCGTACGCTGGTCTGCAGTACTGGGGAAACTCGCTGCTCCTATTCGTGCGCTGTGCTCTCAGTCTCGAAGCTCGGCCGCAAACGTCGTAGTGACGTGCAGCTTCTGTCCTACCCTGACGACGTCGTATTTCTCCAACTCAGCCCATCGGTGATCTGCGTGACGTGCAAAGCGAACCGAGCCGACGAGACAGATCACTGATCGTCCATTGTTTCCATTACCCTTTTTGTACGCTTGCTCCATCAGCCCAGCCCCCTACGGGTTTGAGAAGAGATGTCGAGCTCTTTCGAGAAGTCCGTCAAGGGCGCAACTAAGATCAAAGTGAGTCGGAAACCCGGAACCGTCTTCTCATGGGAGATGAGATGTCTGTCCATTCTGACCCGTCTTCCTGCCGTAGGCTGCCCCCCCGAAGACGAAGTACATCGAGCATATCCTGGTAGCTACGCACGCCGGTGAGGCTGGTGTTGGGGAGGTTTTTCGCGCCCTGCAAAACCGACTTCGCGACTCGACATGGACCGTCGTCTTCAAAAGTTTAATAACAGTACATTTAATGTTTCGAGAGGGCTCGCCTGACGCGACATTATCGTACCTCGCTAGAAACCGCAATCAATTAGCGATTAGCTCCTTTACAGATGGTTCGTTCGCCCCTCTCACCAAGACTATGGGATACTCTGTGCTCTATGCTAACCATTGCCTTGCTATAGCCCAGATACAAGGCCGAAATATTCGACACTATGCCTCCTACTTGGCGGAGCGGGTGCGCGCTTACAAGGATACCAAGATAGACTGGGTGCGTGCGAAGGAGACACGACTAGAGAGCCTGTCAGTCGAAAAGGGCCTGTTGCGAGAGACCGAAGTAGTCCAGCGCCAACTAACTGCTTTGTTGAAATGTGACGTATGTCTATATGATGTGTCTTGTGCGGATTGATCGAATGACTGACCGCTAGAAAGGTCTTGGACGAGCCTGAGAACGAGATTACCATCACCGTTTTCAGACTTCTGGTTCTTGATCTTCTAAGTCTATTTCAGGTTTTAAATCAAGGAATGATCAACATACTAGGTAAAACCTGTAACCTATTGGCTACTTTGTCTCATCAGAAGCTGACGATCCTCAGGGCACTTTTTCGAAATGTCGAAGGTGGATGCGGAACGTGCTATGGACATTTACCGTCAGTTTACTAAAACTACTGATGCTGTTGTCCAATATCTAACAGTGGCTCGGCAATGGGAGCCTCATACAAGGGTAGAAGTCCCTAAGCTGAAACACGCTCCAGTCAACTTACGTCGCCAGCTCGAAGACTACCTTAACGATCCTGATTTTGAGATAAACAGGAGACAATATATAGCAGAACAACAGGCCAAAAAGAAGGGTGGATTTTCCAAAGGTGAAAAGAGTACCTCAGAAACACAGTCAGAGGCTACTAAGCCGTTCCCTACAGCAAATGTGTCGTCTGCATTTGCTCCCAAGGCACCCCAGGCCACTAAGGGGCCTGACCCAGATCTCATTGATTTCTTCGATTCAATAGAGCAAAATCAGACCACCATGAGCACACAACCCAACGCCCAACCAAGTCAGTCAATACAGATGCCACTAGCGAATACTGGCAACACCTGGCCGTCCGGAATCCAGCAACCAACGCAGCTGCAAAGCAATGGCTTCGTGCCTCAGGCAACGGGGTATCCGAACAATAGCCCATTTCAACAGCCAAGCACCACTGGGTTTTCACTGCCACAACAAATGCCTGCTCAGATCCAGCCTAACTTCACTGGCGCCGGCTTCGGTGGCTATACACCCCAGCCAGCCTTCAATCCCAATAGCTTAGGCTCAATACCACAGGATTCTGTTGCAAATTTCTCTACGGGTACTCTCTCACCCCCCATGCAGACCGGCCAGCAGACGACGAATCCATTCAGGGCGTCAATGATGATGGGTAACCCAACCGGTATGCCTGCTAATGGCGCCACTCAAAATACCTTTTCCACACCAACGGGTCCTCCGACTCAGCCTCAGCCCCCTAGCGCTTTAACCCGACAGCCCACAAACCCTTTTGCCAGATCGTCACCACAGGGCATGACACCTTTTGCCAATCCATCATCAACTTCGCCCTTTCAGTCTCCACCACCTCTGCAGCCCCCGGTCTCGCTGCAACCCGCTGCCACTGGGACCAACCCGTTCGCAAGGAATTACTCTCCTGCTGGGAACCAACCTCAGCAGCAGCAGCAGCAGCAGCGACCTCAAACAAGTGGGGGGATCGCGCCACAAGCTACGGGGGCCACGAACCCGTTTCGACAGGGCGCTTTCGTTAATCATCAAACTGGGATGGGCTGGCAACACAACCAAATGCCTATCGGTGGCGGTCTAGATCAACTTCCAACGCAACCTATCTTTCCCAGACCGGCACAGCAGACACCATGGGAGCAGCAACATTAATAGTTATCTAGTCGCTGCCTTGGCGCGGGGAAGCTCAACTACGTGATCGTGATTGGTTGTGAAGACGAGTGGCCTCTTGTAAAACGTAACAACCATGGAACAGCGTTTCCTCTATTCGCTTTTAGAAGCTACTTATTTGTTAGCACGGGAGAAGGGCGGACCTTGTCTTATTCTGTTTTCACTCTTCTGAATGTCTTTTCCCATCGCGAAGGACACGAGTGGATAGCGCTTGACTTCTTTCTCAGTTCGGAATGTAACTATGACTACTACGTAAGTACTTACTTTGTAAGCTTTTTTTGGTCAGATCAGATCCGGTCAGGTCGGGTTAGATAGATACAATACCCGCTTTGCTCTCTCAACACGACGCGAGCAGGCGTTAGTACCACCAATATTAAATGGGCCAAATATCCATCATTGGACTTTATTTACGTCTGCTTTATTGGGTTTTGCACGTAGTAGGATCTCGGTGACCATAAGCTTAGTTAGTGTGAGCCAGAAATTCCGCGGCAAACAACGTGCAAAACATCTTGTTGCCGTCGTTTGACGGATGACACGGTGTCTCGATACTCTGTAGGTAGCGGATGACTGGCTAGTCGTAACACTGGAGGGATGTGAAGGCTGAACTGCCAAAGGGGATCCAATGAATAACTGTAATTCATCGCTGATGCACTTTCCATTGCCTTGCTCACAACTCTCTGGGAGAAAATCTTTCCGAGTATTGTACCCGTGTCTACCTTCGACAACATAACCCTGCACAATCCCACCTAGCCCGGTTCTATATTGTCGAGTTGGACTTGATATGCTGTTGTCGTCGTAGCCATTATTTCCTTTCCCTCCAACCCCGGTACCCTAGGCATCCGTCCCATGCTTTTACGCAACCTATTTTGGGTTGTTTCTAATGCTGGAGTGTTGATGTGTGCCGAAAACAAAACGCCGCCGCTATGCAGATGAGACGGAATATGATGGTCGCATGTCGCGATCGACCTCGAGGAAGCTAAGCTTCTCTCTCTTCAAAGTTGCTGTTCTTCGCTGTATGCTTGTCTCTCTGGACCAAGTGTGAAGTAGCAGCTTGCTTGCTGAAACTTCTGAAGTTCCTTATTCACAGCTCTGGCCTTTCGCAACTGTGTTTCAATGGAAGTTCTAATTCTGTATCGCCGCCATTAAACCGAATACCAGAATTCATCATGAAAATACATCATCGACATCCATACGTCCCGAAACGCGATTTGTAGCACCCGCCTCTGCTGCCATGACTGTCCCCGGACCACGGGCGACATCCTTCTTCTCATCAGCGATGTTGACGCCAAGACCAGCAAAGGCATCGAACATTGCGCGTGCAACGTATTCGGAGATGCTGTACCCAGTGACGCGATGGTCGGCCCTTGTGCGAGCATCGTCGAGCCACTGGTTAGGATACGTATCGCGCAATTCGTAGCGCGTGGGCTCGAGCGCGGGTCCAAGTCCTGCGAAAGGGTCATATGGCTTGCTAAGATCTTCTTCCTCGTCCGAAATCTTCTTAGTCTTTAAGCCGCGAATTGACAGCGTGTTACTAGCGCCAGAATCAAGCAGACTTGGGAAGTGTGTCCCGGCAATCGCAGCGACGCGTGCCCTCTTTTGGGCGACAATACGTGCTTGGATCTCGGCGGCTGACCCGGGCTCGCCTCGTGCCAGCGCCTCCATGACCTCAGCATTGATGGTCGCTTCCTCAGCCCGCGCACGGGCTTCTTCGCGTTGCTCTTCCAAGCGTCGCTGACGCGCCGCCTCGGCCTCGGCCGCTTCACGTTTCTGGCGGGACAGTTCTGCTTCGTTCCCGCGGCGCTTGTTACGCTCAATCTCCTCACGGAATTCTTGTTCGCGATGTAGCAGCTTCTGTTCAGCGGCGCGGCGCTCATCATCACCCCCGGAAATCAAGTCGAATGTCAAGTCCTCGACATCTTGGAGGTAATTATTATAATCCCGCAGAGTCTCGAAGTCATCCTCTACCATGTTGTAGGCGGCGGCAACGCGCCTACGGATATCGACTTCACGCTCTACGGCCAAATCGCCGAAGAAGGCGGACCGGAATCCCCGATGCCGCAGAGTCTTTGTGCAGGTCGCATAGGGACATTGTGCCGGGCCTGATTTGAAAATGTTGGTCACGCAGTTGCTGCACATAGGGTGGTAGCATTCCGGGTTGATCAGGAACTCCATGTCCGTATTGAGATAACGCACGCGCTTGCACACAGGACATATGTCGGAGGGAATCTGGGCGGCGTTCGGACCGGTTGGCAGCCTGACGACGGTCGAGCCGCCCGTCACGGGTTTACGGGACATGCTGATCGTGAGCTTGCAAAGCTGGCTTGCCGCTCTGGTCTTTTTGGTGCCGCAACTTGGAAGAAACGCCCGGCTCGAAAGTCTTGGTCTGACCTAGGGCTTTGAGGACCGAGAGTAGAGATCGAAGCTACACATTTAGTAGCACTAGACTCGCGAAAGGCGAAACAATCGCCGAACGTTGCAGGTACCGAGACGGAAATAGAGGCAGAGGTATAGAAATGAGCAAAATGCAAAATGCGGTGTAATAGAAAGGAAGAGTCCTTCGAGTGATACAGCCGCCGCTTTTTTGGTTCTATGGTAATAAATTGAAGCCAGGACCTGGAGGTAGGGATGACATGACTGGCAGGGTTGGCAGGGTTGGTAGGGGTTAGCAAGGACGCTACCTATAGGTACCTACCTACCTAGGTAGACTATCATAGTTGCTGGCTACAAGGGACCTCGGGAGGCTGCAGGCGTACCACGCTGGCAGGGGTGCGCCTAACGATGGGTAGCTATAAGCTTCTTTGCCCCTCCATCGATTTATCACTTGCTTCGATCTGAGACGACAGACCACATATCACCACACACCAAACCATTCACTTTGGAGACAGACATTTGGATTAGCGATTGGAATCATGGCCGACAAAGGTAAACATAAGTCTTATAGACGAATCCCAGCTACTTTCGCTTCTTCAATACTCCTTCTCACCACATCTCTCCACCCAAGCATAACCCCCACCATGGTCCAAGCTAACCAGTCCAGATCTCACACCTGAGCAAGAGGCAGCAGCCCGTGCAAAGGAAGCCGCCGAGCAAGCCGCCCTGCCGTACAAATGGACTCAGGCAATCTCCGAGCTCGACATCGTCATATCCTCCATTCCCGGGAATCTAAAGAGCCGTGATCTCGTCGTCGAGCTGAAGAAGCAGAAGCTCAAGGCCGGCATTAAGGGTCAGGAGCCCATCATCGACGTATGTGCTTATCGTCTTCCCTCCCCTTCGTGTGTTCTTCGTGTCTATAGTCGTCCTATACTCCAAATCCTCAGCCACGCAAGGCCACAAGACGCCATCAGCGTCTAGAAATTCTTCGAGGCAATAAGAGTCTAATCCACCCCGGACAGGGCGACCTTCCACACGCGATCCAGACCGAGGATTCGACCTGGACCCTGACGACGGCGCCAGATGGCACGAAGACAATCGAGATACACCTGGACAAGGCGAACAAGATGCAGTGGTGGGCCCACGTCGTCACAAGCGCCCCCAAGATCGACGTCACCAAGATCCAGCCCGAGAACAGCAAGCTGTCCGACCTCGACGGCGAGACGCGCGGCATGGTCGAGAAGATGATGTACGACCAGCGCCAGAAGGAGATGGGTCTCCCTACCTCCGACGACCAGAAGAAGGCCGACATCCTCAAGAAATTCCAGGCGCAACATCCCGAGATGGATTTCAGCAACGCCAAGATTAGTTAGTTAAAGAGATACCCGTACAAAATAGAATGAATAAAACGACATTAGACATTTCAAGACGCTGGAGTGTTATAGGTGCTCTATGATCAGAAGTAGGGATAGCTGCATTGCAGCTTTGTAACGTTGGATGTCACCGGCCATGCGGCATCAACGGTATTTAGGAACGAGCAGAATGATCTGAAAACTTGGCTTCTTATTATGCATATGAGCTCTATTTAAAGTTGCAGGAGCATAGTTATGAGCTTTAAAAGTTTTAGAAGAGCGAGTATGGCATGTTCAGGGTGAAACGAATTGCCGTCTTCCATAGAAGAGGTAGACGCATTAGAGAGCCCTGTCCAGTTCGATTTTGGAGACGCCAGTAATGTCGTAGCAGATTGAGGGCTGCAACGCATCAATTGTCAGATTATTGAGCGCTCCGTTCGGCTTGCCGTGATACAATGACTAAGAAGACCGAGAAAAATCTTACAAATAATACGCACCTTTTGATATCGTTACAATGTGAATTAGCTTGGCTCAAATTTGAAGGCGTTGTACTATGAGCTACAACTCCCGTGCTTTGGCCACAATAGGACTCTAAGGGTGTAATGGCCTTAGCAATACGGTTTCACTTTCATGAATGGAAGTCCTGGGTCACAAACTCAGCATCGTTGAGCTAGTACATCTCCAGAACTTCTAAGATTTGGCCAGTCGTGCAGCCTTGAAACGGCTGACTCTCTTGGGCCCGCCCTCCTCCTCTTCCAGCGGCTGGATAGGGTCTGTGTTCTCCTTGAGAAACCCGCCTTGCCGGCCGATCATTCTGTTCCGCATTTTGTAGTATTCTTCTGTTACCTGCTGATGTAAGAAGTTGGCGTCGAGCTCATCCGGTTCTTTGATCGTGCCAGATGGCTCATGTTCTAATATTGTAGATGATAGCGTTTGGCCCTCTGGTCCTGATGGTGCGTATATTGTGGCATCGGTGGGCTTCTCCGGTGCCATCGGCGACACTTGTGGTACCGGCACACCGCTTGTTCTTTCCTTCCGGAATCTTGATGGCTTTCTACTGGATGCTGGGGCGTTATTGCTTATCCCAGAGGAACGACGCTCTATCACGTCGGATAGAGGGTCGACTTCGGGCAACTGTGTTGGCTTTGCTTGAGATGAGGCCGAAGGTTCAGCAATGTCGAGGTTAGAAGCAAACCTGACACTCTTCTTCCCGTCACCCTGATGCGCAGACATCATAGGTGCATCGCTGTTGACAGGAGACATATCTGAGCCGTTCGCGACGGCAGCGGATTCTTCATGTCTGACCGTGATACGACCGATGCCTTCACCAAACTCATCATCCTCGTCGTCACCAGCCTCTTTCTGTTCACCGAATGTTTGTCTGCTGAGTCGCTCCTTCAACTCGAGCATTTGGCGCTTATACTCGTCATCCACGACCCCGGATGTCGACCTTCCCCATTGATCTTCATCGTCATCCTCCTCTTCACTATCGTCGTAGCTCCAGTCATCGTCACCTGATCCTTCCTCGAGGGCGAGCTCTGCGACTATGGGTGCCATCTCGTACATCATTGTCTCTTTATTGTATCGTATCATATCTTCACGTAACTCGGCATCTTCCGGCGATTCATCAGCGGGCATAATTGGGTCTGAAATTATGTTCTCCTGGTTCTTCGCTTGTCGATACAATGCTTCTATTTTTTGAACAGTACTATTGGGCTTCTCTCCCTCGGCCTCTTTTGTATCTTCCGCGAAGGTGACACTTTTCTTCTTGAGCGGCTGTTTAGGGCGAGAAGCCTCAGCGCTAAGTTTTCCATGAGGTTCTGATTGTTGCCTGGAGTTGGAAGACTTGGAAGACGCTGCATCAATAGAGTCTGATGCATATCTTGTTGTAGTAGACGCGATCTCGTGAGGACCAGAGGGGAGTTCTTTAATACCAGCTTTCTCAAGCGCTTCTAAAAGTTGTGGCTGATTATTACCTGGTTGTCGCAGGGTATACGAGATGACATTATCGTCGTCATCTAGCTGCTCGCTGATCTCGGTGATAGGCAAGCCGTCTTCATCGGTGGCCTCGGGATTTGTCACCACTCGTGTGGCGGCGAGTTTGTTCTCGGCGGCTTCGAGCTGTTTCGAAAGCGTGGCTATGTTTCTCGAGACGTAATCCAACCGGTTAGAGACAGTGCTGATGACTTGATCGCGCTTCTTGGAGTCGTTGCGACCGAAGATATCAATGAGCTCCTTTTCATTGACCAACTCGCCTTTGAAGGCCTGCCGTGTTTGAGTAAGAGCTGCGCGCGTGGCTGTCGACGCCAGAGCTCGCACATCCGTTCGCAAGGCGTCGTATTCTTGTTTCCATTGTTGCCACTCGTCAAGTGCTAGGATCAGCTTGTCGACTTGTGCCTCGAGCTGCTCGAGCTGCTTTTCAAGGTCTTGAAATGGATCTCTGACAGGGGTCATGTTTAGGAATTGAGTATACTGTGACAAAGTTGGGGATCTGAGGATGACTGAGGATGGAAATTTTGGATGTGCATTATTTCTGCAGTGGCGGGAATGTGACCAAGTCCATGTGGGGGCGGTACTGTAACGCTTAGAGGTGCTAGCTACATACAGCATGTAGTTGGTACCCACTACCTACTTAACTTCGTAGACATTAACTTCATAGACCCGAGAGAAGACTTTTTCTTCTTCTCGTCATCTATGGGAGAAAATGAGGACAAATGAAAGAACAAGAGAAAGTGGAGGGAAATCCTTATACCAAATAGCTATAGTGGTGTACATACTCATCTAAAGTAATGTAGATGGCTACTGTCGATCTTCTGCAGCAATGCAACAAGAATAAAGGAGATCTCCTTGGCTCCATTGAATAGACTTCTTAGCCAGGCTTGTCCACGTGCTTTCTGCCCTTTTGATTTCCGCCAAGCACAGGCTTCGTATATTGAACATCAAGCGCAGGAGAGTAGGTAGATTGAATCAAGTATGGTGGTTTCTCAGGGGAGAAATACTAAGAACAAGCAACAAGTATGATCCTGGGAGAGATTCCTTGCCTTCGCGCCAACGTGGTACTCAATTTGTTCCTTGTCAGTACATATATGTAGACACTTCCTATGTGGTAGGTATCTTACTGACCAAGTAGTTATGATATACCTAGATACTCTTTCCTGTGAGAGTCTTTGGCGGCTATCCGCCACGGCTCCAACTATTCAGTCCTTGATTGAAGAGCGAAAAGAGAGCGAAAAGACAGTGCACTGAAATGCAAAAGACCACGCCATCTACCGGTAGCACCTTGCCCGGCGTTGAAAGCCCCGTCCTGCAATCAGCCAAGCCAGGGGCTACTATCCAACCAGCAATTGGTGGAAAGTTTAGCACCGGCGCTGTATCGCATTAGAATTTCCCCTTTTGGCTTCTCTAGATCTCGTACGGTCTCCTTTGTCTTCCTATTTCGCACGACCGTACGACGGCTCCGAAGGTCTCGATCCACATGTCTCCGATTGCCTAAACTATTCCGTCAATGACTTGAGCACCTCGTCCCAAATGCTAACGCCATCGTAGTTAGGGTCATCTCTATGCGACGTTGAGTCAATGCTGAACCATGTGCATTAAATTCGTCGATATATGCCAAAACTACTAGCCCGCCGCCAGCACAGCTCCACGGACCGGGCTCAAGCTTCAAACTCGGTAACCTAGTCCGGGCTTGTATTCGGAAGAAACCCCCTTAATTGCAGGGCAGCAAGCCAAGGGGAGATGGCGCCGCGTATACAAAGGATGTGGGGGGTCGGCGTGAGCCTTTTATGAAGAAATCGCATCTCGACAAGTCTGGTCAGAAACGAGCAGACTCGGTCTCACCATCTTGCCCATCATGCTGTGGCCAACGTTTTTCAGCTTCTTGTTCGCCTGGGCCGGCGTTGTTCGCGGCATCACGGTTACTTCATCGAGCGCATCATATGTTGTCGACACTGCTAGTTCGTACAATTTCATCGTGACGATTAGCCGCTCAACATGTGACATCACCTCACTAAGGTTCTACGGGACTGAGTACCAGTACCAGAGAACTGGAAGTCATATTGCGTCGGGGCTCGGCAGCGGCACATCTGTAGGTTGATCCAGCTCATGCTAGTCCCCTTACTACCGTTCTAACATAGTCTCAAAGGTCTCGTACACAACCAGCCCCTCTGGTGACACTGTCATCTTTGCTTGCACGCAAAGAAGCAGCTCATTTGATCTTACGCACTACATGGTCTTCCGCAATGGCGCGGCCAACATCTGGAGTGAGTAGTTCTCGGGTTACTTGGTTCTTGTTCCTGTTCCGAGAACCGGGGGGGGGCTTCAGTGTTGACTAAACTGAAGCTTACCGTGGAAACTCTTCGCCCTTTTGAACAATTTTATCTTATACTTTGGATGACGTATGTTAACCCTGAGTCTCATAGTGGGCACCAGCATCAACCAGGAACCGTCAATTGGAGAGTTACGATACATCTTCCGCCTGACGGGTTTGAGCGCTGCCTACCCATACGGTGAGGTCTCGAATACTGCAGGCGGTAGTGCCATCGAAGGCTCTGATGTTTATAACGTCAATGGCCAGACGCGCAGCAAATTCTACTCATCTGAACGCTTTATTGACGAGAAGGTGTATTGTGCTACCGATTCTGGTGCTACTGTTCACGCTTGTTGGGTACGACCAAACCACCAAGCTACTGAGAAAAGCTCTGGCGGGCCTTTCTTCCGTGATATCAGCTTGAATAATGGCGGCGACTATCAGTCAGTGACTTACTACAGTAAGCAATTCCCTATTTCCCAGGCCCAAATTGAAACAGAATAGCTCATTGTGAGCTAAACCTATTCTGCAAAACAATTGTACGCAAGGCATGCTTAGGACAACAATTACTGAGCTTTGGTGTTGTAGTGAACTCTGGCCACGTCCCCACGGAATCCTTCCGAACAGGTTTCCATGGTCCGTATGTCTTCTCTATGACTCGCAGCGGTATTCCTTCCGCTAGCTCCATCGATGTATCTTTCTTCGACAGCCTCAACCTCCAGAACTACGTCCCTATTTCCGGACGCCGTGGGTATATCAAGGGTACCGCGACTGGCGTGTCTTCGAGCTTCCCCATCGTCGTCCACTGGTACAACAACAATTACCAATTCTGGGTCTATGCCAGCTCCTCCGGCGCGTACACCTCGCCGCCTATGCCTGCCGGCTCCTACACAATGAAGCTGTATCAGGATGAGTTCCTCGCTGCGACTCAGACCATCTCCGTCACAGCAGGCTCAACCGTGACCTCGAACATCGCGGCGACCGCGGTAGCTCTAACAGGGTCGAGAAACACCATCTTTAAGATGGGTGACTATGATGGACAGCCAACTGGGTTCCTAAATGCGGCCAATCAGCTACGCATGCACCCATCAGATAGACGGTATGTATTATCATTGACGAAGATTAAGTGCCATCTCTACTAACGCCTTTCGACAGTATGTCGAACTGGTCACCAGGCACTGTCGCTAGCACGGCCGCCTCTTCATGGCCTATGGCTATGTTTAAGAGCGTTAACAATGGCCAGAAGATCAGCTTTTCGCTCCCAAGCGCCGTGTCTGCTACTGCTAGTATGTAACTACGAGCGTTCTATCTCCTATTTCCACTAAAGCCGTGTATACATACACTCTCACTTGCCTTCACGATTGGATATATACCCTATGCGGCGGCCGCTAATATGGGCTCTATAGCGCTCCGAATCGCCACCACTCTCTCCTTCGCCGGTGGACGGCCACAAGCCATCGTCAACTCATATACGTGCCCCGCGCCCGCTGCCCCCGCGAAGATCGATAGCCGTGGTGTGACCCGCGGCGCATATCGCGGATACGGCGAGATTTATGAGTGCAGTATCCCTGCTGGTAATCTCAGGAGCGGTAGTAACACCATCACCATCAACGTCGTTTCTGGCTCGAGCGGCGATGCATTCCTGAGTCCTAATGTGGTATGTAGTCCATAGTTCTTATTTGTAGACTCAACATTGTACTAATGGGTTCTACTTCTCTAGGTTTTCGACGCTATTGAGCTTTTCTACTAATTCCAGAAGGGGTTGTGGAAGGGGTTTCGCGGCAGTCATGCCATAGCTTACTTGTCAAGCGTCATATAAGCCGCTGTTTCCTCTCACCAGGCTCCCTGATCGTCGTTCGTACTAGACGACACGGAGGATAGATGTGCTTAGAGCTTGAAACAAGTTGGTATAGCCAGCAATTATATAGTCGCTAAGGATAAACGTTAAATGTTCTCTTTCAGGTGGCAGTATACAGTGATGTGTGTATTGATATATATACGATCTATGTTTTCTATGAGTTTGTTACTGTGTTCTACTAGCTTGTTTATCCTTGTCCCTTACCTCCTGTCGCCACCTCATCCCTTTCCGGACAACCAACACTAAGCAGGGCGATACCACCACATAGAACGACGCAATAATGGAGAAAGCTTTGCCGGGTTCCACGGCGGATATTAGGGGGTCGATCGCAGCCGACATAGCCGCTCCCAACAGGAACTTGATGATGTTGTTCGAGGCTGATGCGGCAGAGGCTTTCTCGGGTCTAATATCTGTGATAAGCGCACTGAAGACGCTTGCTACACCGGACAGCCCTAGTCCTAAGAGGAACACGAGCACTACTACAGCGCCAATCGAAACCTGATTTTCGACCGTCCATCCCCATGCCGTAATGACGATGATGCTTAGGATGAAAAACGGTACGAGGACCTCGATTCGTGCTCGTTCTATGGGAAACTCAGCCAAGTCCATGTGTTGACCTTTGATGACTGTAATATTGAGGCGTTTGGCGTGCCGCTGGAAGTTCCAGTTTAGTCCTTTGCCCACTAGTACCACAGCGACTACCGACCCTAAGGCTAGAGGTAGATACAAGAGGCCGATTTTTAGGCCATTATAGCCGTAATATTTGGAGAAGAGGCTGGGTGCTGCAGTTCCTACGGCGTAGAGACCGGCAAATAGAAGACCACCGTAGCTGGATAGGAGGAACAACTCCTTCTCAAATAGAAGGGTCAGCGCGCTAAGGAACCGAGCCCAGGGAAACTCCGCTTTAGGAGCTTCTCCGGTAAGTACAGGTGTAATGCCTGTCTCCAGTTCGTGCGACTGGTCTTTGTGGCGGTTCTTGAATAGTTGCAACAAAGTCTGGTTGGCTTTTCTCGGCAGAATCGAGCCATCCCCTACGATTCTGCGACAAGTCTCGGGAAAGAGGGCAATCAGGATAAACAGATTAACACCTGCCGTGATAGCGAGGAACCAGAAGATATTCCGCCATCCAAGAAACTGCGCGATCGCTCCGCCAATTACGGGCCCTATGCTAGGGCCCAGGATCGTGGGAAGTGCGAGGAATGCAGCGTACTGGCCACGCTCTGCGCTGGTGCTTATGTCGGCCACTACGCCCTGGCAGAGGGCTTGTGTAGACGAGATGGTGATCGACTGCACCGAGCGCAAAGCTAGTAGGCTGCCGTACGAGTTGGTCAAGGCGAGCGCTACGTCGGTAGCGATGTAAAGAACGAAGCAAATGATGTAGACTAGCCGCCGACCCATCGCATCCGCATAGCCACCGATGAATATCGGCGTAACGCCCTGGAATACCATATAGCTTGTAACGGTCAAGTTGATCTTCTTAGTCGAGGTGTGCAAATCGTGGGCGGCATTGTTGAGCGCCGGTAGGTATATTTGCGCCGTCCATGATGCGAAAAGCCCGCTGAACGCGGCGGCGATCACGATTAGCCTCTTTTCCCGTGATGTGTATACCGAATGCGCTCGCACTATCTCGACGGGCTCGAGTTGTGACGATGGCTTGTCGGGATCAACAGCAACAGTGTTGGAGACAACAGCGTCGTTACTCTTCTCATCCGGCCATTGAATTGTTGGTTCAGTAGCCTGCACCAGCGACAAGGCCTTCTCGTCAGAGGAGATTGGGCGGTCTGACGCCATTGGCTGCAACGGTAAGCTCTACACAGTAAGAGCTGTGTACACAATCTGCCACAGATGGCGCTCAGAACGAAAAGGGATTGATGAGGCTTTCAAGGTTCCTAGTAAAATACCTAGTAGTAAGTCTCACTTCCTCCCCAATTGCCGAAGTGTTACGGCTGAGGGAGTCAGGTCACTGGCGCGAGAACCGCGGGCACCGTGCTCCTCGCAAGACATCACTCAGTTGGGATTGTAGAAATTCACACCCTCGCAAGAGAAAAAATTGCCTCTCCATTCCGGTCAGGTCCAGAACACAGTTCGCTAATTGTGAAGATAGGGGCATTCAGGCAAGCATGGATCAATTGGGGTTCGCATCTCGCTTGAAGCAAGGCAAGACCAGCGCGAAGGATCAAGTCCTCACCCCAAAGGATAGAAGAATGGAAAATCGCAGCGAGCTGACAGCGGGCCAAGCTACCGGTAACCAACGTTTTCACTTCTCCCCCTGGTCTGCTTGGGTATAAATACTAGTGATATAGACAGGGCCTCTCCCAAAAGCGCATGATCTCCGAAGCAATCGATCAAAAGCGAACAATACGCTTTCATACACACGGTGTTCTAGCAGAGGCCAGATATCGGCAACAGCCAGCTAGGTAGGTAGGGTGAGCCGGCTCGAGCCGGGACTACTGAGACTCACAGCAAGTCACAGAACATGGGTTAGAGGCCTATATTACCCCGAGATCTTCAGTTAAGATCGGGAAGACCTATATACCGAACGACCTTCCCGTAACGGACGTAGCATTCTAGAACAGCCAAGTTTGGGCAGATGAGGGTCTCAAGGGGCGGGTTCAGAAACACAGCCCTTGGACTGGACCCAGGAATGAAGGAATGAAGGAGTAGGTACGCGCTACCAACTGCAGCTGTCTATGGCTATTTACTTACGGTCTCTACTATGTAGGCGCAATAGAGCGGCTTTCGGGGAGATAAGCCGCATCTGGATCTTGTTCAGAGAGCCAATCCACTCATTCCTTGCGTGCCGGTCAATCTGCACTATCTAACGGTAGAGTGCTAACAATTGCAACCATCCGATACTGACGACATCAGATAAGGGCAAGGTCAGTGCAACACCGGTCCATCCAATTTGGTCACAGATACCCAGTGTACACGTTCTTTTGCTCTATACTATGTACACTAACTGGCCTCTGTTATGGGTAGGGTTGGTCATAATTAGCCCACCCTCGGTTGACATCCCGCCCCAGGCGGTCCGTTGATGGATCCGATTTGGTGAATGCAACTTTGGCAGAAAACAGTCAACACGTGTAGGCGTGTAGCTAAAGGTACGCTATTACCAGTTAGTACCTAAGCCAATATCACCACAATGTTTCATCGTGTTCTCTAACCTTAGCAATAGCCGTGTATTGCTTGCCGCTCTCGCTTGGCTGACCTGTCAAAGTTGCATGGATGCTGGTATAATATCGGTATACCATAAACAGAAGAAGAACCATACTGTACCTCAGCTTCTTGCTTTTACCCTGCCATCTCGTAGCGGGGTTTCTCGTCGCGTATATCCTTGGCGCATCGCCACCAGCGAGCTGCATGTTTTATTCGGCCATAGATTAGGGAACGTACTCCGTACACAGTACTGTTGCAGCTTACAGAACCCTGCTCCAAGTAGGTATTGGTTGGTACTTTTTTACGCCGTACCGTACATCATGAATTTGTCGAGCTTTTATTGTTAGCAGTCTGCCTATGAGGAACTACACTTCGAGGGCACAAGACTGAGTTGAAAAGAGTGAAAGAAAGCCTTAGTATGTATAATACGAGGACTGGGCTACATAACCGCTCTGAGCCTTGGAAGTTGGAAAAGTCCTAGACGTGCTTGTGTGATTTGATAGACTTGAACAACGCGCCGTTAGATCATCAACGTGGCGCTTGCTATGCACAGTTATTCTCCGGAACTTGCACAACTCTACCTGTTGATTTTGTCCACTAATCTCAGCCTCTACTCAGTCCTAACCAAAGCACATCACAGCTTTTGTGCAAGTTCTGGCGAATGATTCTATGTAGCAAGCGCCACGTTGATCATCTAGCAGCACGGCCGTTCAAGTTTAACCAGTTATGTACATCAGCTCGTGTAGATGATATTATGTATTTACTCTTATAAATATACTATTTAGCCTAATCAGCTAGTCCCAAAAAAGGCTCAACCTTCTATTTCAAGATATGAACAGTCGCCCAGTGATTTACATGGAGGCCTCAAATGGTGTTTTAGTTCGGCTGAGGTGCCACGTATTTCTGTAATGGCCTCCATAGCTTCACCGGTTGAGCTAAGTAATAGCGGCGGTTAGTCAAGCTAATTAACCACCTGTTTTTGTGGTGGAAACTTACTAAGACTCTCACGCCAATGAGCTAAAGCGCCAGGGCATCTAGAAACCATTGTGATTGCTGTGATCATCTCCGGGTCAAAGCCCCTAACTGCATGTCAGTATGGCCCATAGCGACTTGATCGGACCTTCGCGAGCGACTTACATGGCTGTGTAAAGGAAGCAGCCCTTCAAGTCTGCATTAGCCTTGAGATTCCTCTCGATGAAATAGGGGTCTTGGCTAGCATATTTGTCGATAGCCAAAGACACCTGAATGAGAGGGTTTGCCTCAACTTCTTCCTTGTATTTGCCCATGAGCTCCTCGATGAGCGATAGTCGAGGATCCCTCGTCTTGTAGATACGGTGACCGTATCCGAAGAGTCTGCCCTTGCCCCTCTTGACGCCCTCGATGAAGTAAGGAACTCGTTCTGGTATGCCAATGGTTGCCAACGCCTCATATGCAAGGTCTATCGCACCACCATGCAGTGGGCCGTAGCCACAGATAAGACCAGAAGTGGTAGCCGAGACTGGATCTATGAGGGTAGAGCCCGCATGCAGCATTGCCGCTGTTGAGTTGGTGATCTCATGATCGGCATACAAGATCCAAAGCTTGTTTAAACACTCTTCGGCTTTGGGGTTCTCTTGAGAGACCCCCATCATGAACAAAAGGTTGCCAAGAAGCGACCTGCTCGGTTCTGGGGGAGTGAAGCTCTTACTGTTCTTGTGGCAATAGATAAGTGCTATTGTCGTAGCCAGATACCCAATTGTCCGCACGAGGGCCGCGTCAGCAACCTCTAGTCGGCCTTGGAACATAGCTTTCTGCGTGTGACGCGTGGCGCAAACGATCTCATCTGCAGCTGCAAAAGCGCTCATACCCGCGAGCATCATTGGCATGGTTTCAGCATCGCAGCTGGATTCGATGTTAGACTCATTAGCATCGCCATCTAGGGGTCATGGCTTGGATCAGTGACATACGGAAATGCTGATATCACGTTGATAACAGTATCGGGAGGGTTCATAGCCTTAGCCATCCCCTGTCGGACTTGATCCTTCTCTTCTTGGGAAGGGAGATGACCCCAGATGAGAAGGTGCATAATATCTTCGTAAACATGGTTGTGAAACAACTCTTGTATATCGAGGTCGCGATACCGAATGGTACCTCGATGACCATCTCTGTCATACCGCTCTGTTAATTTGCAGTTTCATGTCAAACGATGAGTTTGCAACCTTACATGAAGGTGATACTAGACTCTACACATGCTGTGTTCTGGTAACCTGTATCAAGAATACGAAGCCCCCGAGGAATTTGATGCCTGTTCTTGACGTCCTTTTCGCAGTCATCGTCTAGGAAACTGATCTTTCCAATGTCGGCAGCCCGGATGTATCCATTGTCGATAGGGATCTGATATGATTTTCCCGTGCGGGAGTCAACCACATCGAGGTGTGCCATTGCGTGTCTGATGACCTGAGAAAGGAAAACTCGTGAGGATGATGATTATTGCTTGACCAAGAGTAAAGTGAGGCATGAGCTAAGAGCACGATTAAAAACAAAAAAGTATGAACCGAATGAACTGAGTTTTACGCCCCTTACTCTGGTGACATTGATGATGTCCTCCCGTGAGAGTTTCCTCTTTTGATGAAGACCATGTCTAGACTTCACCCTCGCTAAACGACAACTTCATTTAGAATGATTATACACATTGCGTCCTGATCCATCAATCCTGCCATCCTGTAATCCAGATACCTAGGCGTCTAGACCCTGAGGCCCTGTCACCCAGCGGTTACTGCGTCGTACAGATCCTACAATCCTTTAATCCAGTATTCCAATACTCCAACAGTCCCAAAGCCTGAGCCATAGCGTTCTAGACAGCTCGGCATGCATACTCGCCGCACATGGCAACATGGCACGAGCATGGCACGAGCATGGGCTTATATGGCGGTTACATCGTGAAGTCTCGATAGTAATACTCAGTAGCACCGTTTTCGGATAAATTCATATAGCTTCAACGTCCCTTTCCGTACCAGTACGTTCTATGCTCACCACAACACTCCTGAACTAGACACATCTCAACTCGAATCGGTTTTTCTTTCTAATTCACTGCATCATGGCTGTTGCTGTCGCATCTACTACCGGCCTTATTGGCATGTGGAATGGGACTCGAGATGGCAAAGAGGAAGGTTACGTTGACTGGGCTTCAGGCAAGACTAATGTTAACAACCCCAAAGAAGTCAAAATAGAGGTTCAAGATATCAGAACACTCAACCCTCAGCCTACTTTCGAGACTGACGGCTATGGCCTTGTTACTCATGAGTCTTCCTTGACCTCAGAGCAATTCTTGGCAGGTGCTACCCCTGAAGGTAAGATCCATTCAAAGAAGCCCTTCAAATCGATTGTATCTAACGTGTTTTAGGCAAAGCACTGATTGAGGATGTTTACTTCAAAGAGGTTGCTGAGTTAGTCAAGAAGGTCACGGGATCGCAGGATGTGCTCCCCTATGTCTTCCGTATTCGCCAGAACAACATGCGTCCAGGTACTTTCTCAACCGAGAAGCTTTCGCACACGGCTCTCCCAGTCGCACACGTCGACCGGGACGACGTGACGGGTGAAAACGGTATGCGGGAGCTGCTAAGCGACCGAGCAGAGGAGCTCCTCAGGAAGGGTGTCCGCTACGCCCAAGTCAACGTCTGGCGGACGATCGGCGAGCCCATCCAACGGTGGCCTCTGTGCTTCGTCAACCACAGAGACGTCCCCAACTGGACCTACGCCACACACATGGCGCGAGTTTTCCCTGAAAACGACCCGCGGGTGGCGATCCGTGGCGAGAAGAGCCATGACAGCGTCCTCAAGCATGACCCCAAGTACGTGGCAGAATCCACAGCATCCACCATGGCGAGACTGACTTTCTTTGTGCAGCTACAAGTACCACTATGCCAGCGCCCTCGATGTCAACGAGGCCCTGGTTTTCTCATCTTTCGATTCTGATATCAAGAAGGTTATCCCACACGGAGCTTTCTGGGACGACTCGAGTCTAGAGGATGCGCCTATCAGGCGATCGATCGAGGTTCGCTGTTGGGTAGTCTTTGAGTAATGCTCTCGTCGTATAGTTATTGAGGGTCGAGAGGGTGTATATGCAATATTTGTGGGAGGATAGTATCTTTAATTTTGAATACCACATCGGTCGCGTAATTGGCGGTAGGCAAACGGCTGTAAAAATGCAATCTTGATTTGGTGCTACAAAGTCGGAAGTTGATCTGCTTGGCTAATCGTGCAACCGTCGATCTGCAAACTGATCGTCACGAGATATTCCCTAAATTAGTAAAAAAATTACTAGCCTACATACAACAGATCGGACCGTGCTACCGTTGACAGCCGGGGGTCGTTGCATCACTCACTTTAAGCGTGATCCGCAGACTCTGGCAGACTACCGTAGGACAGTCTGCTTAGGGCTGGTGAACGTTAGGCTTTTGCAGATTCGCCCTTATCTCTCAAGATTCGTGAATACTACATGGCGGGTCAATAGCACCCGCGTGGTTATAGGTTTATATGCTCTCCGTCATATTTGGACCCTACATGCGACACAATGCTACCGATCTGTATAAAGCATGCTCGGCATAGGTAAATGCTCCCTCTTATGCTCCGTAGACACCCCATTTCTGTAGAAATGGCAGCATGAGCTGAGGTAGTGGTTGGCGGTACAGTATGTTTGTCACATAAAGTGGTTTTTTTTAGAACACTTTCATATTCCCGTTATTGACGCTTTCATTTAGTTGGTGGGATTCGAACGTCGTCTAGATGATGCTCCTTATCGACTATTGATGAATGCAGGGGTAGCATAGTGCCAAGATATCGTTATAGACAGCTTTTTCCATCAAATCCATTTGCTCTAATTGGCTTCAAATACCTGTTTAACATGCTTGGCATTCTGAAACGTCCCTCATAGGGGTATCGTACATGGTATGCTGTGTTGTTTGGGTAGCATCCAAAAGGGAAGAGAGCATAGTACTTTCAGCCCCGAAATCTACTGTAAGCGAGTCAAGTATTTGCTCCCATGCGGAGATGGCAGGCATGAGCATCCCACCGTGTAAGTAAGACGGGATATGTTATCTGTACTACCTATGTATGTAGGTATACTGACTCTCAGTATCTCCAATCACGTGCGTATCCCACATACATGTATGGCACGTTATACTATGTAGGGAGGTGAGATGGAGTGGGACTCGTGCCACGCAATAGTTGATCTATTGGGCGTGCTTCAGCTTGTGTTCCGTTGATTATGGGACATGAGTTTTGCGCTGGTCTGTCTGTTTCCCATTTGCCCAGTCTTGGGCCCATCTCAGCCGCCAGGGAGATGTGACAGCCATAACGAATTTCATTTCTGCTGTTGCTTCGTAACAATACAGCCATTGAGACTCGGTTGAGATATCTCCACACACAAAAAACGCTTCGCTAGTCCCCAAGTCAGAGCCCCGTCTTTAACCCAGTCTAGAAAAAAGTACCCAATGTCCTGAAAACAAATTCTGAAATGGTACCTATCCTTGTCATCTCGCGTCCATATGCATCTTATTCACCTGGTACTCGATAAGCATTGTGGGACTTTAGTACGCCGTAGAGCTTAGCTGTCCGCGTCAACACCGTAACAAAAGCCTGTCTCCTCCACCGCGCATGTCGCTAAGTGATCCCACATCGCCGTTGAAGACTTGGCAACCATTTGATCTTGGCCCATGCATGTTGCTGCTGCTGCTGCCATGGCGGCCGCTCGAGGATTCTCTAAAACAGCCAGGCGGCTGGGCCGTGGCCGACCGTTCGAATATCGTCGAATCTTGTTGCAGCTCTGCTTGGCTAGATGGGTGTCTCTTGCAGAGCTCCGGGTAAAAATAGCCCCACACAAGGGGCAAGTGCACTTGTTGCTGGCGCCAGATTTCTCCTTCATATGTCTCATGAGATTACTCTTAGATGAGAACTCGCGGCCATTGCATCCGTGCTCCCAACACCGTGGTTTCTCGTCACGATCCACGGGTATGTCATTGTTCGGGCCATCTAGCAAATCCAGTATTGCCATAGGTTGATTTAATGTTGTCGGACACGGACTAGGTAATACGAAGCTGCTCGATGTCTGCTGGCATGAAGCCACTGAGGTGTGTAGAATACTGGTGCCATCGGGTAGACCGCTAATAGCATTGTTGTTATCAAGTCCGAGAACGCTGCTGCTACATATTAGTTGCTGCTGACTAGTCTTCATTATAGTGACTTGCCGGTGAGAAGGATGCTGGTTGTTGCAACCAGATGGTCCACCGAATAGGAGAAACTCATCTAGCAAGCCAGTGAAAGTAGCCAACGGTGTCGCGTGTTCATGAGTTTCTTCGGGGTCACCTAGTCCTATATGGAAGGGGTTCTGTGATGATTTATAATCCATATGTTATATTATAACTGGGTAATAGCCACCTGAGCACTTGTCAAGTTGTAAGAAAACCGGTTTGTGGAAGTAGACCAAGAAAGATCCACCTGTCACGTTCTTAATTTTAGTGAACAGCGAAATCAAATAGGTAGTAAGGATCGAAGCGTCGGGACACGCCGTCTTGATAGCTTTCAACCGCCTCAAGGTCACTCCGCCGTTCCCGAGGATAGCCTGGTCACCTTATGACTGGCGTTATGATGGACTCACTCAAATTGGCTCGAGTTTTCCAGCCCCGGCGCGACAACGACTCTAGAACGGGAGAGCGTATCTGATTGCCATCTTGACAAATCGGGTTACTTACTCGCCCCGATGTGTCAAGCCCCGACATGTCGATCCCCTACTGAGACGGCTCAATTGTGATTAAGGCGGACCGGGGCAAAATATTGGTTACAGCATTCATGCGAGCGTTTGAAGCTTCCTCAACAGGATGGGTCGCATTTGGCTATGCCAAGCCGATGCGAAAAACCTTGCACCTGCAGCCAGTAGTGTGCCCTCGTTTAGACAAATATGAAGCATAAGCAACTTGCAGAAATAGGGACTCACTGGCGCCACGTGACTTGATGCAGGCCCTTCTCAACGGCGCCTAGAGGCTAGATCAGCTACCAGAGAGCCTAGGACTTTGGAAGCGGGCGGGGGGTGAACACACGGGTGTTCTTGGCTCTGCCGTGGCCGTTGTGCCTGGAGTTACATTGTGGCCTTCTACCCGGCTTATTGGTTGTTGTAGACACGCTACTGCTCGCCTGAGGCAAAGAGGGTGAGGGCGGAAACGGCCATGACTTCCCTGGTGTTGGGGGCTTTTATTAGAAATTCTACCCCTGGTAGCCCGGCAAAGATGAGGAGCCGCTTTATGGTGTTGTGCACGTGCACTTCACCGTTGACCATCACGACAGTGGCCAATCATCAATATCTCGGCTACCCTCGCTGTTGGGATAGCAGTTAGCCGTATAGATGTGTTAACACGAAGTCACATGTATGATAGTATGTGAAAAGGTATGCTAAAAATATATCACGTATAACATTGAATATTCATTACGCAGGAGTAGCCTGAGGAATAGCGTCGTTAACCTAAGTGACACAATAACCTTGAGATACGTTCCTCATAATGTCTATGCTGAGGGTGAGGTGTGAAATGCCGCCCCTGTCATGGCCAAGTACAATCCTAGAGTATCGGAGCTGAAAGAATTGTGGACTTTTACAACATACTCAAACTTACAATGATCTTCTCCCTAACTCTCAGGTCGTGTATATAGTCCTATTCTTGCACTAGTTGAAAATTATACGCGATTCATGACAATATATGTGTTCCAATATGGATTCTTCGCTTTCATATCACGCGTTGTATTATGATAACCAATTCACTACTGTCATTGGACTGAAAATGCTTCTTATGTCTGTGGGAGCTCTGCTGTCTACCCCTGACCTGCCTCCTTCAGCATTTGTTGAACTTGCCCCGGGGGCCCTAGGGAGGTATAGATATCTCCAAAACGCTAAAATTTCCCAGATTTCGCAATCCGCAGCTAGTTGGATTCTATAGTAAGGCATGATATTCTACTGGTGGCAAATAGATTTCTTGTTACAATATGAGGTCTGAGAGAAGTATTGGGAATCACGTCAACATTACCACAGATAAGCTGAATTCATTCAATCATCTTATCTTTGGCAAAGTTGCTTTAGCTATCCCGATGTTAAATCGGCACGTGAAGCACTGTCAGGATGATTCATCATGATACATACTTCGCTGCGGGGTAAGATCTATTAATCGACCTCGACTATCCAACTGTAAAATAGTTATCATGGCCCACAGAGAATCGCCTTGAACGAACGCAGTAAAGATGAAGGGAAAATCTCAGCATGCCATTGTTTTCGGAGCGTCCAGTCTGATTGGCTGGGCCGTCATAGACCAGCTGCTGCGCTGTTACCCACAGGTAGGCGCTTTCTCTAAGATCACCGCTGTCACGAACCGTCCGATCAAACTTTCCGAATGTTATTGGCCTGAGCCAGGCATGAACCGTCCAATACTTCAGCTCGTCTCGGGCGTTGACCTCCGTGATGGAGATGGTGTTACGCTATCCCGTACTCTAAAACAAGTAGTCAAAGATATCGACACCGTTACTCATTTGTTCTATCAAGGTATTTTATGCAACATAATGAAATTTTCGACGATAGAAATTGACGAGCATCAGTATTTGCTTCGGTCCCCGAGGATATCGAGGAGGTTGCAGTGAATGGACATATGTTCCAAGCAGTTATAACTGCCCATAATTTGCTTTGCCCAAATCTTCAATTTGTGATTTTCCCAGGAGGAACACGTGTGGGTACATATGATTCGATCTTTTGTGCGAATATTGCTAACAATTTTTGAGGGTTATGGGATTTACACAGCGGGAGGCATTTTCACTCCTCCCTTGACTGAAACCATGGTGAACAACCTTCCATGTGACTACGCGAAGACGCTTGTATATCTCGCGTATCGTGAGATGCTTACTGCGGCAAGTGAACAAAAGAATTGGACATGGTGTGAGGTCTGTCCAGATGCAATAGTGAGTCTCTATCTCATTACAGGGAGACGTAACTAACGCATAATGAGATTGGCTTCACTCCAAATGGCTCACAGTTCAGCTTGGCACTTCATTGGGCCCAATATCTATCTCTGTATGCCCACAACCATGGCGTTGAACTAACGTCCAAAAAAGCCGGAACATCTGCAGTCAAAGTAGCTTTCCCCGGAAGCACAGCTGGCGCCAATTCCCTCTTTTCTCCAGTTTCCGCCACAACACTTGCACGCTTCATGATATACGCCTCTCTCCACCCAGATATATGTGGTGGCGGACAATTATTCAACATCGCCGATAGCGAGGTACCATGCACTTACGGCGAGCTTTGGCCGCGGCTCACGAATTGGTTCGGCTTGGTTGGGACCGGGCCCGTTGAGGACTCAACAATAGACCAAAGCTCCTTGGCGGTTGGTGAGCTGCCTGAAGCAGCTCGTGCTCCAAAACCAGGAGAGTACATAGCACGACACAAAACCGTTTTTTCTCAGTGCGGAAACGAGAAGGCCATTGACAGAGGCGTTAGTGCTGGGTGTCGACAACTAGATAGCGTGGGTTATTGGCTTACCTTCGATAGGCACCTAAGTCTTAAAAAGTTGAGGGAAACAGGCTTTAAAGCAGACAGGGACCCCATTGAGGGCTGGATAGAGAGCTTCGAGATGTTTAGAAAGGCCGAATTAATATTGTAATGCGACAATAAGATTGACATAGGTAGAAAGCTACAATACTTGGCTTTAGGTGGAATCCTGACTGCTGTTCGTCCACAGAATATAAGCATATGTCCAATACACCAGACTAGCGGCCACGATAATATATGCTTTGTTTCTAATTTTTAAGATAGGTTAAGTAGCTTGGCAGTGTTTGAAAGTCGTGTCACATGTAATATGGTAATGAACACCTAAAACCTAATTAAAGTCGTCGAGGCTGCCGGACTAACTTTTCAACGACTGTGTAATTATTACGCCCCTGGTGTTTATACTATATGCTATGTCTATCACAACAATTCCCATTCGCATAAATGCATATAACCCTAAAATTCTAGATAGAGTCATGGGATCACTAGTCAATCTAGAGTAATAATAAGGGTAGCAGCTCATTGTCGGGACCGGGGACCTGACCGCCGGGGTAACCCCTATACACAACAATATACGACTTTTGGGTATTATAATCGTAAATATGGGCATCTCGACCTTATTTAATCACATAAACACTCTCACTAGCTATAATTATTCCTAATGGTACAAGTAAATACTAGTCGAATTCAAGTTGAACGCGGTCGCTCTCGTAGTAAGGTCTGACTGAAGCCAGAGGTCCGCTTCATTGACTCCCCCTGACTGGCCGCAAATTCAAACAGCGCGGCTCAAAATTTTCAATTCTGTTTCGGTACAATGATTGTGAATTGTCTGACACTTGCGGTAGTCATCGCCCTTGAAGTCGAGTCTGTGATTGGGCAGACCAAGTAGAGCAACAGTTCAGAAGAGCTCGAAACCTAAAGCAAATAAATCTAGGACAATTACACGACGCACCAAGAAATTCACTCTGTTAGAAGATACCAAAGAGCACTTGTGTACGCCCTTCTGGATTTAGGAGGTGTCGGCGCAAGGTTATGATCACGTCACGTGTATCAGAGGCTGCTACGTCGTCGGTGCCTACACCTTCTGGCATTCCGTGCCAGCTTCAAAGTATGGAGCGAGAATCACAACGTAGTTGTTGTACTGATCACCTTACGAAAAACTACACCGACGTTGGGTAGTAGCATGCTATTACCGAAGGCAAAGAATTGATGAATGATCACGGACGAGTAGCTTTGGGTGGCAACCTGTCGACCTCCCTTCGCAGATGACTAGTAAAGGCAATCACAAGCTGAGCTCATTGTTTCGAAAGGCAGCTGGCAACAGATATCTTATCCTTGCTAATACATCAGATTAGGAGATAGTATGAACTTGGTTTTATTATGCGGCTCTACTAGTGACTAGTTCATGATATGATAAACTACCAAGTCAGGAGATCTACGAGTAAGGAGGGGAGGCGACATCATGATACTCTGAAGCGGCGGATTGTCTTAGATATCATATCATAACGCAGTACTAGTGAGACAAATCGTATTGAACTATTGAGGAAAGCATGCATAATCTATCTTTCGATCACTCCAGAAGCATATGTCGTACTCGTGCTCACATGGAACGAGCCCACGCACCAACATGGCACGGCGGAGGTTGTGGCTGTAGATTGGTTTGTCCATATCGTCTCACTTTGCATACCAATGTATGGCGCGGGCCTGTTGGGCAAGTTCGAGGTGGATAGGTCATTTTATCACATTCTCTACCCCATGTCGGACGTCTTTCAGCCTCCTGCGAGCATGATTCGGCAATCTGGTCCGCAGGGTTTCATTGCAGGAGAACCCAAAGAATATCTAGTATTAATTCTCCGATGCAACTGCTACCCTTCAACAACCACTTACGCACCTGTGACGTATCTCAATCTTCCCCTTTCCAGTGATAATCAAAACTCATGCAGACCGCTTGTCCTCTTCGCATGCATACCGCCACTTTGTACCCACACCAAGGGCTGGCTTTTATGAGCTCGGCCGCCTGCAGGACTCTAAAACCGTCTATAGCGTTAGTCAGTGGACATGGAGAAAATGACCAGTAATATTCTCCCTACCTGCTGCACGGAAGGTTGCGTCGTTAGGTACCTCTCACTGGACAGATAAACTGTATAGATTTGACCTAGTATGGATAGCTAAGATAGAGGGGGGAAACATGCGAACGAACGTGAACAACTCACAGCACGCATAGGAAATACAGCTGGAAATCGAACTCTGGCACGTGAGTCAAAAGATAGAATATATTCTTTTGAAAGTAACAGCCCTCAGTCTCCTGCGGAAGCATCATAGCAAGTGTAGCCCTTTAACTGTGAAAATGGAGATGGCTTCTTGGTTGATCTAGTGTGTATAATTACTTTGAAGTAGAATAATCCACCACATCGTAAGCATGAAGGGCACGGCAGAATGGTATCTAGGGGCCCATGTTCTTGAAGAGATTACTGCCATTGAACTACGTATGACTATTTTTCTCAAACGTCGCGATCAGATCGGTATTATTGCGCGGATACCTGGAATATGAAACCATTTGTTGAGGTGCGTTTCTAGATCCTGTCAGAATCAAGCTATCATCCAGAGAGAAATGACTCTAACGTTGAGCGGCGGTAGTATAGTCAATAACCTAAAGTGTGTGAACTATGTCTCGAGGTCCAGTTCTAGAATGATGATATCTGCGGCTTTCTCGCCAATTGCCATAGCGACACTGTTAGTGTTGCATCCCACGTTACCTGGAAGGATGCTCAGATCTGCCACCTTGAGTCGCTCGATGCCGTAGACATTGAGGTCAGCATCTACCACGCCACCTTGTTCGCGTACTAGCGACATCCTACATGTCCCCTGGGAATGCCATGTTGAACTGAGATTCTTTCGAACCCATTGTGCTATTACCTCGTCGTCTTCATGGCTATATGAAATTTCATAAGCCGAACCCACTGCAGGACCGTCGATGCAAGCTGCTTGTGAACCTGGCGAGAATTCTGGGTGCATGTGGGCAACCTCTCCTCTGAAGATCTCCATTCTCCGCGCGATCCTGCGCTGTATCTTGTATGCCCAAATGTGCTGCTTGAGATCTACGTTCTCAGGATCCGACAAAAAACCAGTACTGAAATCCGGAACGTCTTCCAGCCCCGGGCCAGTGATATGAATTTCTCCTCTGGAGACTGGATAGGTGGAAAACGGCGCAATACAGTAGTATTGTCCCTTGGGAACACTGGCCCTATCCCCATAGAACCTAGCATACTATCAGCATGTCTAGACTGCAGACAGGATACTAATCATGATTGACTTACCCGCATGCTGGGGTTATCAGCATCAGAGGCCGGTCTTCCCGCCCTTGGTATTCCTTAACCCATTCATTCTGGAACGCAGGCCCAAGACTGGTGATATCTGCATCGCTTGGACGTAGCTTGCAGTATGCATCAACAGCATTCCAGCTCAAAATTCGTTCGTTGTGATGAATTAGTCCCTCGGTGTCAAGCCGGCCGGACCAAATAGCGTCCATAGTCTCCTCTGGTTTGAGGCACGATTTGTAGGCGTAACACATGACTTGATGATCTTGGTAGTGAGATCCGACACCTGGAACATCAGCAACGATAGGCACACCAGCCGACCGTAAGATGTCGGGATTGCCGATTCCCGAGCGCTCAAGAACTAAAGGGCTACCAAGGGCGCCACATGATATAATTACCATTTTTCTTGCCTTTAGCGAAGATAGCGTCTGAGTTTGGCTGGGCTGGTACTCAATCCCGACTGCTCGCTTTGCATCAAATAAGACACGTCTCACTCGCGACTGCAGTAGCACATGCAAATTAGAGTGGCGTCCGTCATTGAGCCTTGGAAATAGGTATTGATGAGCGGTGTCTTGCCGTCGTCCTTCCAAATCAACCCAGCGCATCGCAGCCTGGGCCCCAATAGTGGCATCCATAGTCTGCAGGTCGTGAACCTCATGCCACCCCGTGGCATCAACAGCGGTCAAGAAATCATCTTGAAACCGACGAGAGCCAAACCTACCCCTAGAGACCTGCATCGGGCCATTCTGACCATGGCTCCCAATGCTATGAGAGCCATGATACGTTTCCAGCTACGTTGAAACAATTAGCTCGCTTCTAGCGAATATGAAAAGCCAAGGGGCTGGTTGCTTTACACACCTTGTTCATGTACATTAGCATCTCATCGGCAGACCACCCTGGAATCGACCAGGCGTCGAAATCAGAACGCTGCGGCCGCGAGTATACCATCAGGTTGATTGAGGAGCCGCCGCCCAGCACTCCTCCTGCCAAGACTTCAAGTTCGCGGTCGGCTAGATCTGCCGACGCCTTAGCCTTATAGCAGATGTTGTAGTTGCTGTTAGGGCCCAGGTTGCTCAGGAATAATGCAGGGTGTGAAAGTGATGGGATATTCTGGTTGGAAGCGCCGCCCTCGACGACGAGTATTGACAGACCCGGGTCAGCATCAGAAAGTCGGGCTGCGATGATGCAGCCGGCGCTCCCACCTTCATCGCGACAGGTCAGTACTTATATATAGTGACGTTACGGCTTGATGGAATATGTATACCTCCTGCTATGATAACGTCCACCTCCTGGAGTTCGGCGGGCAAGCTCGTATATATCGCCATCATTGCTTCGCTAAGAACGCAAATTCGTCAAGTAGTGAAACTTCAGAAGGCATGGTAGCACGACGGGTGTGCGTGTGAGTGACAAGATATATGATGAGTTGATAGATAAAGAGTCGGTTACACCGCATCGATCACGCAAGTACGTCCGCTCTTCGGAAGCCACATCCATTAGCCTCTGTCGATGCTCTTCTCCTGTCGCCGTCAAGTTCCGTATGATCCTCCATTCGGAAGGCTTGTGGCTGCAGAGCTGACCGCCTCGTATCATATTAAATAATCTTCCATAGTATCGACACGTCCGATATCGACTACCTAGTGCATACGGCTTTTTCAATTCCTGAGAATCCCCTAGAGCTGCTCTGCGTGAACGGCGAGCACGAGATCTCTACCAGCCTCCATGCATATCTCTAGCGCGCGCCTCGGTCTGTTGACAACTCCACAAATCTGATAGGTCACAAAACTGAAATAGAAGCGCCTCCGTTTTCACGAGCTGTTCCAAGTTTGCGGCTATGGTTTGGCCTACCTAAGTATTTGATAGAGCCTTTGATAGAGCCTGTAGGTCGCCCTCGTCGGCATACCCGCAATTTGATGGCTCAACGATGATGCAAGATCCTACAAAGGCACAGGCAAAGGCATAGCACTACAAGACCAGAATATCTCTCAATGAATTGCTTGCGTTGGTGGAAATTTAGATAGAATAAGTCTTCCACTATCGCTTGACTTTGAGCTCTAGTTTATTTAATACATAAAGTATCTAAAATGCGTTGATTCCATCCTATTTTCCTGGATCTCGTAAGTAATCGTTAATCAATACAATATTCGAAGACGCTTTCCCCATGCATATATGTATACATCGTTAATCAAAATCATGAGAACGGCTTAACTGTACTATGATGTCTGAAGGATCAATTGCCCAGCCAGGCTTCAACCCCAATTAAAAATAATTAAGAGATTGCTGAAAATCTCGAGTTTTGTTCGTGCTGCCCCTTGTGCGATGGTTTTGGTAGGGTAGCGAAGATTTGCTAGAGACGTTGGCAATTGTCGTGAGTAGTGGGCTCGCATTGTTTTTGTCGTCGCTTCGACGGATATATCAAAAGGAATGGTAGGACTCGGGCTGATCTGAAGCCTTAGGCGTCAGCAAAGCGTCAAAGATTTCCCTACCGAGATCCCTGTTGTCCTCGGAAGTCTTGCTTCGATTTACTTGGTTAATGTGGAACTGGGATTCGTTTGGGCTATCCGATTCCGAACCGTGATATGGTGATTCCGAACCGTCTGATAGCGATAGAGTAGATGACGTTGGGCTGAAAAGGTGTTTCCGGTTATTCTTGCTCCATCGCACCAGCATCCTCTCCTGCCAAATCAAAGCGTGTTAGTCCAGTTCCTTCTCACATACCTTTTAGAAATACATAGATGGTGGTGCCTGAGTTGCTGGATCAGGAGCTTACATACTGCCGCATCAATTAGCTTTAGAAGACGATAGATCTTTCCACCAAATCCGGGTCTCAGAACCGGCGCGGCAGGTTTTGATACTTACCCAAAGTGTTAGAATTAACTGGTTTCGATAAATAGTCATCCATACCCGCTTTCGCACACTTCTCCTGGTCACCCTGAATTGCTGAAGCTGTCATGGCTACGATAGGTACGTCCCTCGCTAGGTCTTTGTATGCCGTGTCGTGCCGTAAGAGATGCGTACATTTGTAGCCGTCGATGACCGGCATCTGGACATCCATGAGAATGATGTCAGGTTTAGGGCGCTTTCCATCCCGACTATCCTTAATATAATCGAGTGCTTCTTGTCCATTCCAAACAGCACTTGCCTTGAATCCTAGCTTTACAATTTTTTTCAAGGCAATCTGCTGGTTGATGGCACTAAATGATATCAGTGACAACCCAATCGTTGGAATTCATAATGACTTACTTATCCTCGACGACCAGAACAAAGATGTTAGAGCGATCTGCCATAGACATTTCGTCTCCATCGTATTCGGGAGTTGATGACAAAACATAATTTCCAGAAGATTGCCTACAGTGAAGATTATCCGTAGAAGAATTGGGAGAAGGTTGATTCCCCCGGTTTGAGCTGTTGCAGGGAATACTCATTTCGTTCTGCAATCGACGAGGAAGTGAACAGGTATCCATGGGTGAAGAGTCGTCGGTCGATCGAGGCTTTGCGAATGGTATCGAAAATGTTACAATAGTTCCTTTTCCCACACCTGACTTCAGCTGGATCTTGCCTTTCATAAGACCAAGCAGATTTTTTGATATAGTGAGACCCAACCCCGAACCACCAAATTTCCTTCCTGTAGATGGATCTCCTTGGCTAAATGGCTGAAAAAGTCGCTTTTGCACCTCGGGCGGAATGCCGATTCCCGAGTCTTCAACAGTGAATTTGATTTCGAGAGTCTCGTTGGTCTCATTCTGCGTCGATACGGAAAGCCTGACGAATCCGGTACTTGTGAATTTGATGCTATTGGTAAGAAGATTTGTAACGACCTGACGGATACGACCGGGGTCACCAAGAAGCATGAGATCATCGTTGATGTCCGGTGAGATAACCAAGCTGAAATCCAGATTCTTCCTCTCCGCGGTAAATTTAAGCATTTTAATAACGTCCTGGACAATCAAAGATACAGAAAATTGAACCTCTTCAATATCTAAGCGTCCAGATTCGATCTTGGAGAAATCCAATATATCATTGATGATACCGAGCAATGCATCAGCAGAACGGCGGATATTCTCAGCATACTCTAGCTGTTCATCATTCAATGCCGTATCGAGAAGCAATTCAGTCATTCCGATGACACCGGTAATCGGGGTGCGGATTTCGTGAGACATCTAGGAATGTTAGAATCATTGTGCGTTCGTCTCGGGGAGAAAGCCTCACATTAGCCAGGAATTGGCTTTTAAGCCGACTAGCTTCTTTGGCTGCTGCTTCCTTAGCCATATATTGCCTCTTCTCACGAACGTGAACCTCTACTGCTTGTTCCCGCTCTTTCAGCTCTGTCACATTCATAATAACACCTATGGCGCCCTCAACGATCGTATGACTTGAGTCACTGGATTCGGTGTTGGTCCCAATTATAGGCATAAACCTCGTCTTGTAGAAATGCCGGTCTAAAGTGAATTAGCATGTAAAGATCTAATGATGTGAACTAGAACGAACCTATTTCATGCTCTCGGACTGTATCACTCCGCTTCCTGCCAGCTAGAATATCATCGACAGGTTTGAGAAATGCCGATGTCTCTTCCTTGTGCGCCGATACGCCGAGGTCCTTGAACACTTCATCAACATTTCGTCCGATATACTTCTTCGAATCGTGGTTGGGAATTTTGTCAGCTGGACTATTGTAACCCTCGTTCCGTATGAGAGCTCCTTCCAACATAGTAATGTTTCGATCGCAATCGACGGAGAAAATAGTTGTCTGTGCGTCTGTTAAGACGCTTAGAAGATGCTTTCGAGATTGCTTTGCTTCCAATTTCGCCTTCATTGTCTCATGGACATCAGTGCATGTCCCAAACCATTTCACAATCTTCCCGGTCTTTTCCTTGAGTGGCAAAGCACGCCCGAGCATCCATCTCCATTCTCCGTCTTTGTTTAGGCACCGGTACTCTGTTCCGTATGGTTCACCAGTCTCCAAGCTATGGTTCCATTTTTTTATGCTCACGGCCATATCATCAGGGTGGAAGGGTAGCTGCCAACCCAAGCCAAGAGAGTCTTCGTGAGTAAGGCAGGTGAAGTCGTACCATCTCTTGTTGTAGAAATCGTGCATTCCGTCGGGGTTTGCAGTCCACACCATCTGGGGCATTGTATCGCAAATGAGTTTAAACCGCTCTTCGTCTGCCTTCTTGATCTTGGTAATCTCCTGGGCCATGTATGTAACGTCACGGCAGGTCACAACACCTCCAATTATATCACCCATCTCATTATCCTTTAACAGCTCGCCTAGCACATCGTAGACTACCCTTTTACCAGTATCGCTATGATACACTCCGATTCGACGCCCTGAGAATGGTTTCTGCTCTCGTAATAAAACGGTAGTTGGGAATTCGGAGGGGTCGAGTATTCGGGTAAAGTCTTCATTCCAGACATCTAAGCTCGGGAGCAAATTGTACCTATCGTTGCCATTTACACAGTAGGAAGGTTTGAAGAGCTCTCTAGCAGACCTATTGCAAACAGGCGCACTGCCGTCTTTCCACATAGCCAAGATAGGCATTTCTGCGTTATCGAGGAGAGCATCTTTGATGATAGCAACCTTTTGAAGAGACGAGGGCGTACTGGATTCTAGAAAATCAGAAGCAGTAGCAATAGCTGGAGAGGGAGACGGGCTTGGAGAGTTCGTATGCAAGTTTTGAGCTCGCGGCTTAACTGTAAGTTGCTTGTAGGCCGTAGATTCTTCCTCATGCGAAGCCTCGGAAGACAAACGGGAAGCGGGGGAATCTGTAGCCAACACTGTCTTCCGATTTATGTCGTTGAAAGTCAACATATAATAAGTCTGGGAGTTTTTCATAACCCATGCTGTAATGGCCACCTTAGCAGTGGTTTGGAAGTCGGGATGGCGGGTCTCTGTAGTCGTCTTGGAGGGGATGTCGCTGGAGGAGGTGATCTTAACGTCGATTGTGGAATTTGATGTAACTGCACTTGGATCGCCCCCCAGTACTGAACGTAGACTTCCCTGGAGGTGGTTGACATCACATGCGAAAGGTTGAGTTGCAGGCATATGTTCCCTTTTGTTCGTAACACCATCCAAAAAAGAGTCCCATGATGGTTTGATAGAATTACTATTACTTAAGATTTCAACGCCGATCTGTGCTAGGGTTTTCCCCTGCAAAATATCAGTATCAAAACATGGGTCTTCATGATGGATATGGTGCTCTTCAACTAGACCCAATAATCTTCTTGTAGCTGCATTTGTGAAGACAATGGTCCTTGAGCCACTTAATAGAAGTAGAGGTATAGGAAGGAATTGTATGGCAGGAAAGGCGAGCTGTTCTGGAGATATGGTGTCAATGCGTGGTTTCATGATGCCTGGCCTCTCTCCAGAACGCGTAGCCGTCGTTTCCTGTTGCTCGGTAATAGGCTGCACATTCGCATATTGAAGCGTGGTGAGTAGAGATGTAGTTGAAGGGGACAGATTGGTGGCGCAATTGACATGGTCAGAATTTTCCAGACAAAACTGAATCGAAAGCGGATGAACGTTTGGTGGGATTTCACAGGAACCCATATTAGCGGGAGAGCTAGTAGTACGGGTATGACGATCGTTGAGATGCGTCATGATATAATGCCAGACCTCCCATGCACGTTAGAAGGCTGATGCCACAAGCATCGACACACAAGGACGGCGTGCTAGAAGCTCAAACGACAATGAATGCTGTTTATTGATTGAAGAACGGCCAACATAATGACAACTCGTCAAAGGCTGAGTTGCCTCAGTCAAGTTATTATTCAAGCCAGGAAACTTCAAAAGCTCAATATCACTCCCCCTAGCGATGTGAAATGTGGACTTATTCTCTTCGCCACTACGGAGTAGCCTAGTTTGATAATGGGGTCGCCTGCAGAAGGAAAATCTGGAGGATAATTGCAGCGTTCGCGGAACTCTTTACATATTACACGACGTGGAACCCATATGCTGTCTATATACGCAGATCGAGAATAGCTTGCTGCAAGAAACAACCGACCTAGCAGACTGCAAGTAAAATGCACCGAAGCCTACTCATCTCAATTCAAAACCTGGGTCTACCTACGTCAGCATGAGGAAATGTGTGAGTGCTGGACTGGAGGTGGAGTAGACTACGTAGTAATTAGCGGGAATAAAAGGAGGCTCCGGAGCTGCGGGCATTGACCCGCAGCAGCTGTGTGGTAAGCCGCGCGGAGTCCTTTCGCTCAGAGATACCTACTTTCGTAGGCGTCGGCTTGAATGTTACCAGCGCTTGCTAAGGGCAGCCTCATTCTGGCTCGCGTTGCGGGATCACTGTCCCTTGTATGATCCAACAACAACGAGGTAGCGAGAGAAATTAAATGGAGACTACGGTGTTGGGGTGGGAGCTTGGCAAGGTACTGTTCACTCAACTTTTGAACTAACAGTACGTATCTTGGGACCGGTTTTGACGAATTTGCATGATCGCTGGAGCGGTATTGTTCAAGTTGCATACCAGAACCCCTCGTTACCGCCTTCGTATGTGCGCCAATGAGATCGCATATCATGGAGCAGTGAATAGCGCTCACATGCGAAAGTATAATTCCCGTGAGCCGTACTATGTAATGATGATCTAAATGGGAGAACCAACACTGAAGGGAACATGGCTAGAATGGGGCATTGGACTTACATAGTAGAGTCCTAAGACCCTGAGCTAGTAAGACGACCTGGCATGAGATGCCAGTAAGCTACGGCGTTGGATGAGAATCTGGTTTAGCATATCCACGACATACTTCGTAGATAGAAGACCCGGTTGAAGAAGCAGGCACTAACTTAGAAACTATCTACTCTAGCGCAGTATAGTGAGCCCATGGTGACATTCTGACATCATGTCGCATACACCCTATTGCCAACCGGTTGAGCTGAGTCATTTGGGGGTTGCCCCCAGCTTGTCACGGGCAGACCCATGGGCTAATTCTAGACTACCCGGGTGTAGTCCTTTCGAATGCCGTAGCTTGTACATGTGAGTTGAATCAATAGCCGTTCAGCGTCGCATTAATCGCGGTGCATGGTAGCACGTGCTGAGGCTCCTGTGCGATAGCACTAGTTGGACGAGAGCTTGATAGTGCCACAGAGATCACAGGACCACCATTGGCTCTCTCGGACCCTGCCACAGAAATGGCATGTCCACGGCGGCGATGCTAAAGGTGCGAGCTGAGAGGCGGTCTGTGGCCGCGACTCTTTGGTCCTCTTGATTGCATCTTCCGACGGGGGCCGCACCTGTCTATTGGTGTCTCTTCTGTCCGACCCAGTGAGGTCGATTACTCTTCGCTGGTGCATTGTAGGCCGCTCAGTTCTCTCCGTGCCACAAACGTCGCAGCACAGATAGTTTGCTGGATTGTTCAAGGTGCATATGCCGCAAGTCCACGTGGCCCTGGCTCCCTCATCTTGGAGGCTCCGTTGAGTTGTTGGTGACTGCGCAGTTACTCTCAAACCTTGATGGCTTTCTCTTGCAGTAACACGATCAGATCCACTATGTGTATTGGCGGCAGCACCGAGGGGCATATAGGCGCTCCCTTTCTTGGCCGTTTCTTCCTCTTGTACTATCTCCCACAATGCCTGTGCTATCGCTGCATCATTTGCGGCATCTTCATCAGCTTGTGTTTTAAATCCATTTCTCGTCGCTGTATTTGCAATCTCGACAATTTCATCTTGCGTTTGGTTGTCATTCGCGCATCCTCGCAATGTCCGGTTACGGCGTTCGACTGCGTCGCCAATAACCTTTCGAATATCTTGTCCAGGCTGAGGGGCAGCACCACCGAGGCGTTGACCCGAGCCGGAACCCAGTGTGCGCCGCTTTTCAGCAGCAATACGGGCCAACCTTCGAGCTTCGTCCATGGGAATAGTCCCGCCACCGAGTCGATGACCCTCTGACAAGAAACCTTCACCGGTATAGCCTTTCAGCGTGAGTGACAAGTGCTCGTCGCGAAGCTGGTTCCATAGCGCATGAAATTTTGCATCATGGGGGCCATGTACATTATGAGCAAGCTCATGCAACATGGTGTCAGCGACTTGCTCAAGAGGTAGGAATTGGCTCCGGTCTCCGGGATATCGCAGGCGTAGGCAAATTCTGGTCCCACGGTCTACATTGAGCCCTATCTATGCGTTTCAGTTACCTTCTCTCCGATTTCTCGCGGCTGAAGCCCGTAATAGCGTCTTACCTAGGAGATTAGGTTGGTTCGGGTAGAATTCAGTAAGTTGGCCAACTTTCCATCCCCGTGCACGCATAAGCGGCTTCACTAATGAGGCCACCTTTTTGAGCGTGTGCAATGCATCAGCAGCACGCGGGAAATCGGCCAGATGAGAATATGAAAATATGAGAGGGTCAACCTCGGGCATCTCTGCTCAAAATCTTGATAGGCGGGTTTGTTATAGAGACTGAAAAACAAGGCCAGGTAGCAGTGATTGTACTTGAACGCTGAGCGTATAGGGCAAAATCATGCGCAAAACCCGCCCAACGACTGAATGATAAAATAGAGTAGTTTGAGGGGGCCGCGATGCACATTACCGGTAGCACCTATATATGACACGGCACATCTCAGGGTAACAGGGCTCCTCGGCGGCAAGATGGATAAGCACCGAGATATGGACCGCATCAAGCGAGAAATGAATCGAAGAGAATCATGGGTAATAGGCGAGGGGTGAGAAAGACGTGTCTACTCAGGCAAACAAATGCCCGCTCGTTGTATTGAAATCAAACAGAAGGCCGCGAGGCCGTCACGTAATCCAAAAGCCAACTTCTAGAAGTTACTCGATGCGTACGCGTCGCCACCACATCTTAGGCGGCAGCGTTTCGAGGTCAAGGGATCGTAAGAGCAAGTAGGTACTTAGGTACCTTGTGCTCTTCTAAAACACCCATATGTGAATAACCTCATTTATGCATATATACATATGTGCGTGTGTGTGTGTGTGTGTGTGTGTGTGTGTGCTAGCGCTATGCGTTATATGTCTATAAAGAGAAATAGTCCTTTACAGCAAATCTAATACCTAAATCTGTATGTAGTAGTGAGCCATTCTTCGAACACTGAAGTTCTCCGCTCTAATCCATTCTATACACCTACATAGCGAAGAATCATAAAATAGCAAAGATTATTAAGAATGAGAGGAACATAGGCGGCTTAAGATTCACTTATTATTTAGGGCTAGCGTCATGGCACCTACCAAGTAAAGCCTCAGATGGCAGCTTGTACCCCGACTTGTAAGCCAGTCAATAAGAATCGTGCATCCTCAGCTTCCTCACATATAGGTAGAGTCAGAGTCAGCCACCCTGCTTGCGAATAGCTTTGAATTTCAAGCCTTGTACATGCACTTCTTGTGCAATAGGGGAAGCATGAGGCCTTTACGCGATCGTTATATCAATGCTTTATGCAATAGATCTTACTCCAAGCCCGCAACATAGTAATTGAAGTTACAGAATCCATTCGTTGGTTGATCCAAAACGTCAACCTTACTGCTGGCCTTTGCAACGACATTCCCGCTTCCGTCGAGCAATTCAAGGAGCTGCGCTCCAGTCTTCAGACCTTCAATTGAGTTGTAATTCAGCCCACTCGTTACGGACTGAGTCGCAAGGACTTGGCCTGCACTGGACACGCGGACCTGGAAGCCTTCACTGCCAGCTGGGAGAATGACAGCATAGACCAGGGTATCGCGAGCCGCACCATTGCCGCGAGGGGTTCCGTCGCCGCCGTTGTTGACGCATGACTTCAGCACGCCGCGATACCACATGGCGCCAGCGAAAGATGCTCCATTCGAGGGAACCATTGAGCCTGTGTCCGACGCGCCGCTCTTAAAGGCGTCGATGAAAGACGAAATCAAAGGCTGCCACCCCGTGTGAGGGTTCGCGTCTGAATCTCCGTACTGAAGAATCTCCTCGTTCAGAGTTTCGGCCCAACATGGACCAATGTAATGGCTTTCACCCGCATCGTTCTAAAGGTAAATCCGGTTAACCATAGATCGAGCTTGCGTGCGCGAGTAGATAAGATACTAGTGATAGATGGGATGAGAACGGGGTGGTCGTGAAAACATACCCATGTGATGACCTCGGTGAATTCTGGCGACAGTTGTAAAATCTGGTCCATGCGCTCAAGTAGAGTTGTCTCTCCATTGCGGTACCATGAATCTCCACAGCAGTGTTTGTACTGGAGCGGCGATAAGCCTAAAGATGATGTCAACCCCAACTGTCCGAAAGAGACGCTAGTTATTGCATACCCATGATATACGTCTTCCCTGCTGCATCTGCCGCGTTCTTGACTGCCTCGTCACGGGTTGAGGATACGTTGGCACCGGGAGTGTCCGCTACATCGGGCCAGTTCGTCTCCCAGCTAAACACGCCATCGACGACATCACCCCAGTTCTGGAAGAATGTGGCAGGTTGACTGTAGTAACTGCCATCGGCTTCGGGATTTGGAATAAGGTAGACATTATTCGCCGTTTTGAATTTTCTCCAAGCGTCGACGCCAATATTTCCACCACTGTACGATGACACGACAGGGAGGTTGGCATCGCCGTAGCGTAAGTACGAGGGGCGGTCCGCAAATTGCGTGTATAGCGCGGCGTGTGTGTTGATGTCACCTGTCTGATAGAAGTCGAAGCTGAAGAAAAGCTTGAAGTCGTCCCTCGTGTCGGCATAGTCGAAGAGCTGGTTCACCGCGCTAACCAGCCAGTCTGCGTTGGGCATGCCGATGTTCAGCGCGAAGGCGTCGAAGCCTGCCGCCGCCGCTTGCTCGATATCCTGCTGACCACTGTTTATACACTGGAGTTAGTGATTACTGAAGATAGTAAAGGTTTAGCTCAAGTTTCGGGAGTATGTGTGGCCAATGAGTCCTGAAACTTGGCAAAAGGGGAAACGGGTGACTTTGAGAAACTGACTGATCGGTGTTGGGGTCAATTCCTCCAACCTAGAAGTGAATTAGCGAAAATTCGTGGGAATAGTTGAAATCGATGCAGTATACCAAGTAATGCGCAAACACTAATTTTGCTTCCACTGCTTTGCCCAGCAGATTGGCGCTGGTCGCCAGCAGAAAGAGGGTAGAGCTGAGGAAGTGCATCTTGCCCAAGCGTCAAAAACTGCTACTACTTCATTGTGAGGACTTCACAAGTGGACATTGGATAGCGGTATATATATACAAATGCCATGATTGTACCTCCGCACCTGAGGGCAGGCGAAATTAGCCGCCGACTCAACGATCACTGACTACGTTACTTTGAAGTTATTCACACAGGCACATACCACCCTGATCCCTCTTAAAGTTGCATTAGGCTTGCGATGAGCTTCTCCACATAGCCCTTTTGGGCAGCTCAAACGGCCACTTTCGGCGGAACATAGCCACGAAACGAGTTAAGATCAGCAATGTTGTAGAGGAGGCCAACTTGGTATTGTTGAAAACACTCTACTTTGACGCCGCGGTTTCATGTTACACTGGGCTTCGGGACCGAGCTTTGGGTGCTGTTGTTCAGCTGGTAGTAACAATAGTCCTTTACTCCTGACCCTTCTGCTTTGATTTGAACTCCATTGCCCCCCCTAATAAGGAATCGTAGGATCTCTTATGTTAGTTACACTACGTTTAGTTTCCGAGGACCCAAGATTCGCATTGAATTTTATTCAACGGGCTCTCTTCCTCCGATGTTACTTTACCAGTAAGGGAGTCATCAGACAAGCAAATCCACAGGAAGTGGCTGCGTTTCGAAACGCATTGGCGTCCGTCGTACCGATATAGTCTAACCCGTTTGTTACACAGGATATTATCATGTCGGGCCTACGCTTGCGTTGTGCGAGAAGCTATTTATTTCGAGATCACCCGCGGCGGTAGGACTCTTTGACCAGACCAATTACTACATCGTGAGTCATGGCAGTCTTATCCGCCTTCGCAACCCTGCATGGTGAAAGGGGTGCCAAGGATGGATCCAAGAAGAATGACGGGACATCGAATTCATGGAATTAATTTATATTCTATAAGTACGTTTCGTGGATTTGTATGTACCCTGTTCCAAAGACACCGTATACTACCAAGGGAGCGCTTTGTCCTGAGATGAGGATATCTCGACTGAATCTTGGGCTAATCCTTATTCTATCTCCTGGCTCATTATACGTTATCTCGTGCTTGGGCAGATGATCTCTTCTTTGGAAATGCCGGTATAGCCAGCATCCGTGTCCTGAGGTTAATGTTCGTCTCCAAGGCGGGGTCATGCCTTTGTCATGAGGCTGTGTCTTTCATACTGGCTGAGTGCCATTCGGGGGCGTGGGAATGATATCTTCATAATCTCAAACTTGAAGTGGTAGTATATCCAAGACCCTTAATCAGCCTTGTAAATTTCGTGGGCGACGAGGTAACGTGTGACCAGTCCGAACTTTTCACAGATACTACTGTGCAGTTTTGTGGGATTTCTGTTGATACGATATGCGTTTGCATCGATTCAATGTCGACTGTGACCCCTTTCTGATCAAGCCCTCTGCGGGCTGGCGGGCCTGCTTCGCAATCGAGGATAGACGATGGCCAGACATCTTCCTGTCTCTGACGGAGGCGAGAAGGCAGAACGATGCTCGTGGCACCGTTACGCGGGGTGGCTGTCTAGCAGGCGAAGCTGCTGAATGCTTTGGCAAGGGTGGTCTGGTCTACGCCGTGCCATGATAATCGTTTCCCGAAACGTGCCATGTTCTCGCTCGTCTTGGTCCGCTTGTGTGTTATGCGAGGCCTGGGGATCTGGATGGGACGTTCCTCCTCTTCTACGAGTGTGTTGGCGCTTGAGAGGGAGCTCAGCGAGGTGCGCCTGGGTCTTGCTGGGGGAGAGGGCATTTTCAAAGCGGTAGTAAAGATATACCAATCGAGGGTCAGAGGTTTCTAGTTTCGACGAGTGCGCTTGGCGGTGGGCTTGGACCTGTACCACCGAAAAGCTTGAGCGAGAGGCATCACGCCCTTTAAACATTCAAGCGTAAAGTAGAATAATCAACGGGTGCCAAATTACAAAACAGGCGTTGTACTGAAATTACGATAGTCTCACCATAGATCCTCCCTGGTCTGCCATCACGTTTAGAGCTTTGACTTCACCTGTCTAGCCTTAGACGTCGATCTACGCGTGTGGATGAACAGGGTAAGGGACGTAAGCTTACGAAGTATGGTATACCTACCAACCCAATCCTCGCCAATCCTAATGATCACATCGACCAAGCGGCTCTCTTGAAGATATAGCATTTATCTTATTATTAGTAATGTCCTAAATTGCTTCTAGAATGGTGCTACCCCAGGTACTACCTACCCTAAGTACAAGAGCAACTCAACAACTGCCGGTAATGTCATGTTTTAAACAGCGAGGATGCTAGTGGTGTCATCTCAATCCTTCCATGTGCACGCTAGACCATATAGAAGATGGTCTCATTTCCTAGAATAGCACCAAGACAAAACGAATCGGTAAGTCCGCTATACTAAGTAAGTACTAGGTATGTATCACGCTATTTGTGGCATGATGGGGCCTCGCGCCGTTATGTTAACGATGATTTGAGATGATATTGTGCATACCTACCTCTCTAGTATACCTATACCTACATACATACCTACTTGACAGCCGCGTTTTCGCGGTGAACGTTGAGCTGTATACTAAAGAGGTACCGATGCACTTTGTGTGAATACAATACCTACACTTAGTGCTGTGTCGCTAAGGCCCAGATACCTAGGTACCTCCTTAGGTATCGTACGTGCTATGTTACCGTAGGTATTTGATAAAATCTAGATGTATTTGCCTGCCGCCCTTTTTATGGTAATTTAAGCAATACACTAATACACGACTTGGTGGCTTTAGTAACCTTGTGTAAGATCGTGGCTGCAGGCAGTAGGTAGGGATTGTGTTTTAAAACCTTTGGGGGAGGATCTGACCCTGCCCCAAGCACAACAGCGACTTGGAGACGGGTTGTTACAAGCTGCTGCTAACCATTTATATTCTCCTGTAGGTAATCGAAACTCACATACCTACTCTTGTTGAGTTGTGAATATGATGAAGAGTATTGTGTAAGAATAAACTAGGCCGAACTGGGCGCAGAGTTGTTCCCTACATGTAGGTAAACTGACAGGGTTCCTAATAAGACGTGTATACCTATAGTACTGTACATACCAAGTATTTACCGCCTGCCACCTTCAGTCGCCACTCATACCAGTGATGGCGTATTCAACAATCCTCCAACATCGGTAGGTGATGTTGGCTATGAGTGACCATCTACTAAAAGAAGAATCGCGCAAGTCTACCGGTACGGATACCAAGGTTTACTTGCGCCCAGGAAAAAGAAAAAGAATAAAGAGAGAAGGTACCGAGTTACTAACTTGTGGGGGGTCTTGGTGGAATTGTGGGTCGGGCAATCACCAGTCCAGACGCGGAAGGCGGTGAGGGGTAGTCAAGTGGAACTAAGCAAGATACAGGGACTTCGAGCTCGAATCTGGCCGGCAGAATAAAAAAAAGTTCATGCTTCGAGGCTCAGCCAGATGAAGTCGAAGTATCGCGACAGTACACGCATACTCGAATGAGGTATATCTGTCTGAAGCCCAACACCAATCCAGTTGCATATATACAGCTTTAATTAACGCCATTCCTGGTTCGTCCGCTACTGTACGGCTACGTACCACCTTTGCGGTGACGGCTGCGGCGCACGTGCAACAATGGACATTCATCGCATCAGATATGTCCCTTATAATCCGGCGCCCATCAACTGCGTTGCATTTTCCCAGTCGGTCGCGTCCAAGAAGAATGGGCCTGTGCGCCTAGCTATTGGCCGTGCTTCCGGTGATATTGAGATATGGTGCCCTCTCAACGGCTCGTGGCATCAGGAAACAATCATTCGCGGAGGGAAAAATCGCACAGTCGGCAAGTCACCATCCATCGGCGACGAAATATGGGCAAAACTAACAGGGAATAGATGGGCTGGTTTGGGTAACGGAGCCTGACCAGATTCTCCCAGATGGCAAGAGAATTCCCGGCCGCTTGAGGCTATTTAGCTTCGGCTACTCGAGCACCGTCACTGAGTGGGATCTCGAAAAGGGCCGCCCGAAACACCAATCCAGCGGTACCCATAGTGATATATGGTGTCTCGGCGTCCAGCCGTTCATAATTCAAGGAAAGAATGGCGATACCAGCAAAACTAAGGTCTACCACACCGGCAAAAAACTCGTCGCAGGTACCATGGATGGGAGCCTAGTCCTGTATGACATCGATGATGGCGAGCTTCGTTATGATCGTGTCCTTGCGAGATCGTCTTCCAAGAAGATTAAGATGGTCAGCATTGCTTTCAAAGACCGCAACACTGTCGTAGTCGGCACCTCCCAAAGCTGTATCCTTGTCTACGATATGCGAACCGGCGCGACACTCGCGAAGATGACTTTAGGCTCAGATCTTGTTAGTGGTGCTAAGGAGATCATCGCCTGGTGCGTGAAGTGCCTAGACGGAGGGGACATCGTGTCTGGTGATTCGACTGGCGAGCTTCGTATATGGGATGGAAAAACCTACACGCAAGCCCAGAGGCTCAAAGCCCATAGCTCTGATGTTCTCTCTCTTGTTACGAGTGCTGATGGCTCCACTATTGTGACTGGTGGTATGGATCGTCGAACCGCTGTTTATAGGAAGACCAGTGGGTCCGGGTCCAGATGGGCCAAGATATTTCACCGGAGATTTCACCACCATGATGTCAAGACAATGGCCTCGTTTGAGGGCCACGGCATGAGTGTAGTGGTTTCCGGGGGTACGTAAAGCTGGTCTCAAAATTGACAGGAAACAGCACTAACTATTATCCAGGGCCCGATGCGACACCTGTTGTGATGCCCCTCCAAAAAGCTGGCATAGAGGAGCACCGCACCTTATCTTCGTTGCCTCAAGACGCGCCCCTGAAAGGTGCATATAACAGTCGATTAATCATTAGTTGGTGGAATCGCGAAGTGTCTATTTGGCGACTTCCACAATCAGTGGAGGGCTTAACGGATCAATCCAATAATGACCAAGACGTTACTCAGAACCGGAAACTTATAGCTCGTGTCTTAATAAAAGGAGAAGCAAACATTACATCTGCATCCATTAACGCCGATGGATCTTTGCTCGTCGTCTCAACCACCTCTGATATCAAAGCATTCCATCTGCAACCTCGGCATGGAACGCGGTGGGATGAACTCAAGATATCGAAAATTGAGTTTGGAGAGCGTGTCTCAGCCCTGGGTGCCACGAAAACATTGATATCTCCAGATAGCAAGTGGTTATGCCTGGTACAGACTGGTGGTACCGTGTCACTTTTACGCATCCGACAGTCCTCTAATTCCTCAGAGATGACTATAATTCATCCTAGAGCTGTTCGATTACAACGCATTAGGCGCCAGGCCCCAAAGCAAAGTACTATGGGTGGACTAGGAGGCTATGACAGGACTATCACGCAGGCAGCCTTCTCTCCAGACAGTCAGATGTTGGCCGTTGCGGACCTTGCAGGATACATTGACACATGGATTCTAGTCGACTCGACGAATAAGTTGCAGAACCGAGCCCGTGATGCAGATAAGATCGACGAGGATATAACTTCCGACGATGACTCCTCGGACAGCGATGACGATCAAGATACAGGGATGGAAGGTGTTCGATGGAGACAGAATCCCAATGCCTCGTTAATACCGAGGCTCCACGCTGCTCCTACAGTTCTATCGTTTTCTGATCATATTCCTTCTAAGCCCATAACAACAGAAAATGACGAAACAGATGACTATATTTTACTTGCCATTACGTCCAAACCCCAAATTGTCCTTTTACATCCTACCCTTGGATGCATCACATCATGGTCCAGGCGCAACCCTATCTCACGATTTCCTTCTGAATTCCGCGATATTCGGGACCTCGTTAAAGGGGCGCTCTGGAAAGGTGACAGAGTTTGGTTGTACGGAAACACGTATCTCTTTATGATTGATACAGCACAAGATTTCAATGAGTCGGCGTCTGATGGACCGAGCACAGGGAGTGAATTAGTAGCGCAGGGAAGAAAACGAAAACGAGGTCCTGACAGTGGTGCTGGTAACAAGATGAAGAATGGGGCGGTCGGCCCCACGAAAGTATTGCGCCATGTGCAAGGTGGTGAGACAGAAGAGCTATCCACCGACGGGCCAGTTCTCGATCCGATGGACGAGGATGCGGAAAGTCAAGACACAAGAGATGATGAGAGTGATGAGTCTGATGATGAAAATCAAAGCGAACTAGCTCTTCTTCGGGGCACTCAAGGCAAGCCTGCACTAGAATCTCAATCCAGCAGCGGCCCTGCCTTTTGGTACACATTTAAATATAGGCCAATCCTAGGCATCGTACCATTAGGCGATCGGGCAGAAGAAGCACGGAATGGAACTTCTATGCAGGTTACATTGGCTAGTACAAAACCAAAGGCGCTTGAAGTGGCCCTTGTCGAAAGACCCTTATTCGACGTGGATTTACCTGAGAGGTATTCTGGAGAAGGCGAATTCCAGCGTTAACGGTTATATAGTTGTTTAATAGAATCATCAGTGTACAGTTTCGAGATTTCTGCATTTTGACAGGCATGTCTGTCGTTCTCTAAGATCCAGGGCGCAGCCCACGTCATCGATGCCATTTACTGATAGCTCTCAGAGCTTTTTGCGTCTACATACTAAGCGCTCGAATATGGATGTGTGCTTGCTCTCCTGTAGTAGTAGCCAGAGAGTAGGCATCTATAGAGCTAAGGTTAAGGATTTTAGCAATGGTATTGTAACGCTTGGAGCAAAGCTTGAGGGAACATTTAGCAGACGAATGAGCTCGGAGAACGATGAAGTAGTTGCGGAAGAAGAGAAAGTTTGCCGGTTAGGCAAGATATCATTATGGCTTTTCTTACGAGCCTTTAAAGTTAGGGCGGTGAATAGCTCCTACGTTTTTAGCCCTCGGTATTGAGCTATATACGTTGGTATCCTCTTACCGATTTGTTTGCCCAATCTACAATAGTCCGGGAAGGTTTTTTTCCTTCTTTTTTTCCCCTCTTATCTCTCTAATCAAATTTCATGAGCAAATTAGGCCGTAAAGTGGCCGGCGGCGTTGTCTACTTTGACTGTGCTTTTCTTGGGGGCATATGTAGATGCGAGACGACTTGCTGCTCATAGCTCTTCGGTATAGAGCATCTGGGTAGTGAAAAGGTATGTCTTAGTCTCGTAACCTGAAAACGCCCATTTTCTATGTGAATTAGCTGTTCTAGAGTGACTGCAGCCCTCTGATTAGCTAGAAGAGCGTACGAGTTGGTTGTCCTGTAATAAGGCAAACCTCATCACGCAGCAGCGCAAACAGCGTTCGCTTCCTACTTACATATAACTCTACAGTCCATTGCGCATCCGCTCAATTTGACATCCGCAGCTACCTAGGTATGTTTTCAGTATCTATGCGATGACGGATCCCTCCGGCTCCCGCACATCTTTGCGTGATTGATCCCCTTACCTTGGATCACTTAGCTAATCAGATTGTATTTCTAGCATTTCGTATCATGGCACCTGAAGTGACGCTGACCCAGCAGAAATGCGCCAACATGGTCATCTGCAATAAACTGGGCAAGACAGTCTGTACTGGTTGCTACCTGGTCACGGTGAGATTCTTCCTTTTTGTCGTTTGCCTTTCGCAATGCTATTCAACGCCTTCTAACTTCACCCTAGTAGTGCTCTCCTGCCTGCCAGCAGATGAATTGGAGCATCCACAAAGCCGACTGCTGTCATATGGCGGTCACAGCATCGTTCGAGACCGACCGCAGACTCCCTGCCTGGGCGCCTCAGAACCTCTGGGCCGATCTGATGCGAAACCATCGTCGTCGCGTCGTCCCTCAAGACGCTCCCCAAATTGGACCCCAGACTCATCGTCAGCTTGTCGAAGACGATCCTCGAAGTGGCCAGTTTGAAATGTTTGGCAGCTACCCAGCTATAGATGTTCTTCGGCTCAGCGCAAATGAGGGGGTCAAGCAAACAAACCCAATTGACGTTCTTTTTGTGCGTAAGTTCTTGGACCTTGCCGATTTTCTAGATTTGATCTGAACCCGCCACCATAAAGGCTAACCATTCCCGTAAGAACCGAGCGATCTTAGAGACGTGATCAAGACCATTGTTGACCTACCCGACGATGTATCAGCTCCCATTAGCATCGTTATCACTGATGACACGACGGCGAAGATTACGCGTAACCTCATTTTGCTATTTATGGCACTCTCATCTGATAATCCCGATGTGACAGCTGAATGCGCTGTGTCTTTTTGGTATGCGTCATGTAGGTTATCTCCAAAGTCGTTTCCATGAAACGAAAGCGACTAATCTTGAGCATGAAAGTTATCCCCAAGTGGTGTATCCCCACGATCCGAGAGCTCATCGGTCCGTTCATCGATGAATGTCAGTCCAATGATCAAGAAGAAAGCGAGATGGAAACCAAAATTGCAAGACAATGGTCATTTGGTTCAGCATCGCTCAAGGCCGTGTTGACCCGACATATGCAAGTCGGTGCCAAGGCCATCCTGGAGCCATGCCCGTGCTGGAACCATGTCGATGCCCGACACGCGCAGAATCTCTCCTAGAGGCAGGGAGACTGCGCTCATCTGGATCACTACGAGAGAACGCTGATGAGTTTTCCTCCGGAATGGCAGGCTGCGAAACGCCGCTATATGCCCTCCGCACAGGTAACACCATTCGAAAATTACGATAACCCCGCGAACTGGCCTCTGGATTACAATCCGTTAGTTCTTTCCTATTCCCTCCTGACTAATTTTGGTGCTATACTCACTGATATTGGCATATCAAAGGAGCTTATTCTACGGCAACTTCTGGCCTTTGAAACAGGATGCCGATCCGCTTCGGGGTTGGGATCTCGCGACGATCAACGAGGAGAAGGGGACAGAAAGAGCCGACAATGACATCTATGGGAAGCTGTTCTACTATGTTCGAAACCTGTTCAAGAGCTTTATTCTGAAGTTGCGGACGGTTAACGTCACTTTCCACGTGGTTCCATACAATGGCTATGACTTGGCACAGGAGACACAAATGAAATTTGACCGCATCGAGGCAAGCCCGAGTCCCTCCTGAGACGAGATTTTCGAGAAGATGAAGGTAGCCAGCTGACCTTTGAACTAGACCTCTGCCCTAGCAGATGAAAATCTGGTAGGCGTCCGCACAGTAGTCGACACTCTATCACCTCTCTTGAAATCCCCACGTGTTAACCCACATGCGACCATGATCACGATGCACCCCGGCGTATTCGACAAGATCCAGAATGCATTCCCATGTCCAGAATGCGACCCTAACCGTGCTGAACGTGTCAGGAAGGCAACGAAATTGACAACCACAGAAAGGTGCCTACTAGACTCTTACCTGCCCCTCCACGACCCGGATCCTGTGAACTGGATCTTCACTGCCGTAGGATGGCAGCGCCGGGACGCGAGATGGCTCTTCCGAGACCCCACGGCAGCATGGGAGCTATATAAAGACATCTACGACTTCGAGGACGTCGCGGATAATGCCAAGGTTGCCATGCGGACCACACACAAGGTGGTGAGCGAATGGATTCTTCGCCTGAAGCACACAGGCAAGGAGGGGTTCGACGAGAATGGGCGGCCCATGGCAGAGGCTAAACGGGACTTCGACGCCATCTTCTCTAGGGGCCAGACTGCCGGATACCGCTATGTCGAGTGGCGCAAGCTCGGTCCCAGCGAGAGGCAGAAGCTAGAGAAGAAAATGAAGGATGCACGACGGGACGGGCATGAGCCCAAGAGACATGAAGCGTATCACGAGTACCTGTGCAATGCTGCTGGTCTCCGCAAGCTGGAAAAGAAGGGCTCGCGGTTGGAGAGGTGGATGGGGAAGGATAATCATGCGAATTGGACACCTTACTGATTGAACAGTTGGATCTTCATGTTCTGCCTATTTGTATGCTCGTACGAGGCCAAGAGTGTATTTGACGGTCGAGTAACAACTGTAAAAGGATGGATGTGAGATGAGGTATAGTTTGGTTCCCTCTATTAGGCAAGCCATTCAGTCGGAGGAAACAAGGAGAACAAAAGAGTGTTGATAAAGTAAAAGACAGCCTAAGCAGATGCCGATGCCACTAGTAAGATCGCATCACAGCCATCCTTCCCATCATCAGGCACAAAGGCGTACGCGACGCGACAATCTTGGTGATGACACTAAGCGTAGGCATCATGACGCACTCAGCCTCATCAGGGAACAACACTATCCCACACAATATTCCCTTTCTTTACAAGCTGCAGTATCACCTCTTTCTAATAGAGAAAAAGTGAAGTCCCTTCAAAATGTTCACTACCACCTCGGCATACCATACCGGTATTCATCTTCTTTACAGTATCAACAAGTCAATCCCACCGATTATCATACCAACACACCAGACCTAGCTAGATGCCTCAATAGATTCCCGATCCAGCAAAACATCTATCTCTCCCCATCCAAGTACCCCCTTCCCTTGTCCCTAGCATCATCTACATCCACACAAGCTTCACCGCATCCAACAGCACATACCCACCCACATTACCTCGGTAAATTCATCGCGCGTGCGCGCTTCAGTCCCTAGGTAAGTAAGACCGTACGCTACTTCCTCCGCGCTGCTGCTAGGTAGACAGAGGTGATATGGGAAAGAAGGATGACGCAAGCTCCCTGTCTGTGCTTATACCCGCCAGTCCATCCCGCTACTACCCCATCAAGTCGAGATCATCCGCAGAGTACCCAGGTAGGTAGATATGTATGTGATTCTCTTTTTCTTCTTCTTCATAAATGCATCCTTATCAGATCTATATGAATTGCTACGTGACAGCGTGGGGGGGGGGGGGGGGGGGGGGGGGGGGGGGGGGGGGGGGGGGGGGGGGGGGGGGGGGGGCGGGGGGGGGGGGGGGGGGGCGGGGGGGGGGGCG